CAATGAGATAGAGACCATAGTCATGGACCTCCTCCTCTGTAGGGTCAGGTATGCTGAATGGAACATGGGTGAGGCAGTGGTGTAGATCATCACAGAGATTTTCCTTGAAGCGGTTCCAAAGGTCATCAGGGCTTGTGGGATTGCAATGTATGAGGATGATGGCAAAGAGATTGCGCATGCAATGTCCAGTGCACATATGAGATGCATCCTGCAAGCACTGGATCCATTCATTATCATCATCAAGCACCCTGTGCTGACATGCTTCCTTGAAAGTCTCATAGACGACCCCATCAAACGTCCGAAGATGCTCATAGGAGGTAGCCCCTTAAAAAATGGTGAGTTAGATCAATAACAATTGTCACGGACATCATACCTTTCACTACAGTCAAAAGCAATCTCAGGTAGAAGCACTCTCCAGAGCTGGGTGCAGCAGCATACATCCTTCCAATGGCCGTTCCACGCTGGCATATCTTCCATGCATTTTTGGTCCAGACGAATTTTGAGGGAAAGTCCTGATAGAGGTGGTCATGGGCTCCAGCTGCCACAAAGTTCTCATTGACATTGGCTTTGAACCATCCAGTGAGGCAAGTCTCTTTGGCTGCTGCACACTCAAGAACATCATGGGCATCATCCTCAGGATCATAGAACACCATATGTTCATCTGAGAGGTGGACTGGCAAGCAGTAGACAGAGGGCCATTCAAGATGCATTGAAAATTCAAAGATGCACCATGCGGCCTCAGTTGAGCTGATATACCTGGAGTCAAGATATGATTTGACCTCATCCACTGCTCCTCTCATCTCCAAAGTAGCACGGTTGTTTCCTTTGTAGATGTACTTGTGAATATATTTGACAGATTTGATAGAGGCGCAGACTTCCAGATTGATGTGGCAGTTGAATTCCACCAGGAGTTCTGGGGGGTGAGGAATGACATCTTTGTTGGTGAAGACATTGTCATTCTTTTGGACAGTGCGACCATTGTCGGGTCTTGCGTACTCTGGATAACCATCGTCCTTCATCAAGGTCTGGGGACAGAATGACTTTGGAAAGTGTTTCTTGCACTGTCCATTCTCCAAGCAACGTTGTGGGTTGCAAGGGCCATGCAACATATATTTTTCCACAGCCTCATAGAGTTGTGGATGGACATTTCTGTCAGGAATTTGAGCAGAGATGAAGGAATTGATTTGTTCTGCAGTCCGTATCTTATCCTCTTGCTCCAGGAAGATGAGAAGGTGCATATGGGGCAGACCGCATTTTTGATATTCGATGGTGTACACCAAACCTGCGACCTTTCCATAGTAGCCTTTATGAACCTTCTTCAACAGAGCCTGCTGCTTCTGATAGAACACGCGAGCCACCAAGTCCGGACAGTCCACAGCACTCTGACCTATATAAGAAGTTGTCAGGCTGAAGTCAAAAACAGTGCATAAGATATGAATTATTACCTGGAAGGAGATTCTCAGTGATTTCAGGCCAACTCCCATTGGCAGTCATTGTTAGGAAGAGATCAGGCTTCTTGCAGGCACAGCAAATGGCCAAGGAATCTTGAAGCAGCTGGTGCATGTACTGAGGGCTCCCAGTATGAGAGGAGGGAAGAATAATGGAGTGACCTGTCTGAGCCAGATCATTCACACCATCATCAAGGACATTATCCATTAAGCCTCAGTAGCAGTCCACCCTCAGCCACTTTTGGTTGTTCCTGATCCAGTTCAAATTGCTCTGCTCTATGGAGGCCCAAGCATCAACCACATACTGCTGGAACAGTCGTCCACCATGAAAGATGTTGTTATGGTCCATGCAAACCGGGCGAGGGTGAAGGCAGTAGGCATAATAGAGCAACTGGGTGACTTTTTTTGCTCATTGACATCCACCCTGATTGTTAAGAGGGATGTCAAGATGCCAGCCCTCTTCACCAGAAGGAAAGAGAAGGACGTAATGCAGGGTTGAGTATGTGTGACTGAGTTGGCTGACACGCTGAAGTTGACTGCCTTGAAGTCCCAAGACAATATCACGTTTGTCAGACACCTCCTCAGATCCATCTCCAGGAATAATCACAGCAATTTCATTGGCAGTGGGAAGATTATATCTTCAACCATCTGTGCCTTGCTGGAAATGGATGCACATACAAACATCAGTGTGCTGCTCTGGAGGCTTCTCTCGCATGACTTGATAGGCCTGCTTATACAAAGGAGCATAGGGATGGCTTCGATACAGCATATCATGGAGCTCTCTGAGGATGTGACGGTCAAGACCTTCATTTCCAGGACAGGTGGCATGGATGTTTGTGGCTTCCTCAGGGTCATAGATGTAGAGTTGCGCATATGAAGGCTGAAGGCCTTCTGGGGGTATAAGACTGCCCATGAGGTGATGGAGAGATCCATGGATATGAAAAGCATTTGGGCCAGATCCTTGAAGAGCACGATCCTCGATATTGACGCTAACTGATGTGAATGCAAGAGCACTATTATACTGGCATATTTTTGAGATGAAAGTTCAGTCCATATATGCCTGCCGCAGCTCAGGTGGCCATGCTGGAAAGAGTGGAAGGTTGACTTGGCCCTACAAGCAGCACATTCCAAAGCATGGGTTTCGTTGAGAGGAGTTGGACAATCTTTCACATGCAAAGTGCATTGCATGGCAGTTTGTGCACTCTACATTAAGAGGACCAAGAGTATGAAGGGCAATAGGCTCTGTGTATGGCCAACCTCAATCAGGGACAGGAACTGCCTGGTTAACATGCTACTCCTCCTCTTCCTCTTGCTGCAGGCGGTGTTCATGTTCCTGAGTTCTTCTTCTTTCCTCGTCTTGTTCATGGTTTTCTTGAGAGATTGGATCATTATATTCACACAGTGCCTCTTCAAGACGCTCCTCCTGCTCACAAATCCTTTGCTCCTGGTATTGTTGGCGCACCTCTTCCTGTTGACTTGCTTGTTGAACATCTTGATCCCATCTATGGATCTGTTCAGCTTCCTGCTGCTGGAATTGCTGCTGCATTTGCTGTCACTCAACTTCCTGCTGCTGGAATTGCTGTTGCATATGCTGCTGCATTTGCTGTCGCTCAGCTTCCTGCTGCTGAAAGTGCTGCTGCATCTGCCACTGCATCTGCTGTCACTCAGCTTCCTGCTGCTGCATTTGCTGCTGCATCTGCTATTGCATCTGCTGTTGCATCCGCTGCTGCATTTGCTGCTGCATCTGCTATTGCATCTGCTGTTGCATCCGCTGCTGCATTTGCTGTCACTCAGCTTCCTGCTGCTGAAAGTGCTGCTGTATCTGCAGTTGCTCAACTTCCTGCTGCTGGAATTGCTGCTGCATCTGCCACTGCATCTGCTGTTGGCCAGCTTCCTGCTGCTGCAATTGTTGCTGCAAGTGTAGCTGAATCTGCCATTGATGAAATTCCTCCCATGCTTGTCTTTGAAGCAAGTCATGTCTAATGCACTCATTCTCCATAGCAGGTTCAGGGAGTGCATGTAAAGGTGGTGCATGATTAGGCGCAAAATGAAGGGGATTGTTCATCAACTCAGCTTCCTGCTGCTGTTGAGGCACAGGAGGTGCAGGTTGAACAGGTTCATTCAGAATATGAGGTACATGTGGGGGCTCTATCCCAGCTGCCATAAGCTCTGCTCGTGCCTCCTGTCTTATCTCCTGTCTCTCTTGCTGCCAGCGAAGATTACGCTGGCAAAGTCTGTTATTTCCAGCTGCATTTGTTCGCTCATTCAAGAGCACATCAAAATTAACAGGAGGACTTGGAGGACAATTAACAGGAGGAGGATGATGAGCATGCAGCACATGTGCAATTGCATTTCGTGGCAAGCCAGGATATTGGTCAACTGGCAGTGGCCCATATGGAAATCCAGGAGGAGGTTGCCAAGCAAAAGGTCATGGAACAGGCCCTGCTTATGGCTCATTAGCTGCCATGAAATTTGGCTGTGGTGCAGGAGGTAGAGGCCTGTCCTGATTATTATTGGCAGCATGACGACGATTATGTCTGGTAGGTGAGGTCATTTGAAGTCGGTTAAGTCTATCACGTTCACATTGTGACTGCCAGTTGCATTCTGGTGTAATCTGTGATTGTTGTCTAAATAGTATGTGCAAGCATTAGCATGATGCACCTTGCACATAGCAATAGCAATATATAATTGGCAACTCACAGTATAGGAATTCTTTGATCCATCTTTGTTATTCAAACTGTTGTTTAGCAAGTGCAATAATTGAGTTGCCTGACCTCATTAATTATAAGTCAATTTCTATCATTGTTGATAAGAAATGAAACCCACAAAAATGTATGTATTGCACTTTATTACACTTGGCTGCAGGGAAGGCAATATAACTCGAGAATTCTAATCAAAAGCAGCAGCCAAGTTGTGTAGTGATTTGTGTAATTTGTGTAATCAATTGTGTTACCAAATTGCGTAACCAAATAACCAAATTTCTAATATTTTGCTTTTGTTATTCTCGATGCCATTCCCATATAGTAGGAAAACCACTCTGTTTGTCCGTATTATGCCCGCGGCGCAGTAGGCGTGTGGATTACTGTCCACTATATCGCGTTTGGCAGCATTTTCGTACTTGGTGGAATTTAGCCTCTCAAATTCTCGATTCTCGATCTCGATTTGCAAGTTTTTTTCTCACTGTTTAGCGAGCTCACGCGAGAAAACCACGCGAGATTTCCAAAGTAAGCATTAAGCGAGGTAAGCGATTTTAAGCGTTCTTAACCGTCCTTAAGCGTACCTACGCGAAAGCCACGCGAGCTGGCGAGACGATTCCCACACGTCGCATCCTACTTTATAGATGATTATAGATGACTATCACCGTGGTAACTTTAACACACGTGACCGAACACAGTCGCGACTATGCCTGCCCTGAATTCGTGTTGGTTCGATTCGATTGTTGAAGCTAAGACGTATATTGTGCTTTCCAGATACTGATGAGCTTGTACTGACTATTTGACAGTAACAACAACGACGATCCAGAACTGACAATTGACAGAACAGACGCGGGCGATGTCGAGCTTCGACCCGCGCTCGCCAGGTTATTATGACACAACGACGTATTCGTCTATCTCGCATGACTCTGATTCTGGTCAGTGGCATGTTAGCTGTTCTTATCAATATTCAATCCACCAAAATTTTACACATAGACACCCCCCGTGCATCTACGGATTCATCTGCCTCCCCAGGCCTCCTCCGACGCGTTGCATTCAGTCCCCCTCCCCGCTCTGAAACTAGCTTCGAAGGTCATGGTCACGACGACAGTTTCGGAGAACATGCTGAAGTCGAAGCAGTTCTCACCGATTTTGACCTTGACGCCGAGATTAATGCTACCCAGGACACCGTCTCCCAATGGTCCTCTTCCCGACCGTCCTACACGTCCTTTAGTACGTCTACTCCGTACAGTGGTACAGGATCCTACACTGGCACTTCTGCTTCGCACTCTGCGGACACCGCAACAGCAACAGGAACTTATTTCACACGCGACCCTCGAGTCCTGAGTACCATCTCAGAACGCACCGAGCACCCCAGCCGACCGACTTCCTTTGCCCAGAACCGTCTTTCTGCACACCGCCTAAGCACAATATCCAACCCGCATGCTCGATCAGCTATTGAATCCCCTGTAAATGCCAACAGACTTAGTACGCATTCCCAGGGACATGCACGCGGTGCCACAGATCTTCCCACAACTAGCCGTCGCACGGGTGACCTTATCGCATTCTTCGAGGACCGCGCAGGTACCCCCAGCAAAGAAAAGGAGAGAAACACCAGTCCATTTTTACCTACAACCCAGAGTACGCCCCATTTAGGGAGTACCACGGGGTACACCTCAACTGGATACGGCTATACCACGGGATTCACTTCGACTGGGTACGGATATACCACAGGAACGGGGACAGGTGGCTATACAACTACGGGCTACACCACATCCCGCCCCTCCTCTGTCACTAAAAGCAGGTCCGACGATTCGCGTTCCACAGTCTCGACTTCTTCAGGTGGGGGTGGGACTGACCTGAGCTTGTCGAGTTTGTTAAGTCCACCAGTACGCGGATTTGGCACCCCAACCGGGACGTATAGTGGCAGTGGGGCAGCGACAGGGAGGACACAGCTAAGCCCAAGCGATTTTGCGAGTACGTTTTCGAGTGCATTTGGGGTTGCTAGGGGTGCGTGTGCCAATGCTACCCCTACCTTCACTCCTTTACTTTGTGTTGATATTCGATCCAGACAGACAAGATGATACTACCCCCACGCGCCAGACACAGACCGCCCTCCGTCGCAGCACCGCTCCTCTGAACGAGGTCAACACGAGCCCCAGAAGCCCATTAACGAGCGTACGGAACATCGTAGCTGCGTGGAAGGAACGCACGCCAGGACTAGGGAAAGTGAAGAGTGAGAGCAGTGAAGGTGGGAGCGAGCTGTCTCCTCCTGGGGCATCAAAGGTGTGTGTGATTTTACAAGTTGGCGTACACGCATGCTGAGGGGCATAGATGGAGGGTTTGTTCTCTCTTCGTAGACGCGCATCGCGGCAGGGACCGCGGGGACAGCCGCCAGTGACGCCTGATAGGAACGGTGGGAAGGGCAATGTAGGAGGCACCAGCAGAAACAGGGAAAACGAAGGAATCACTAGCAGTGGAAACAATGTCATAAGGAGGAGAGTGAGCTCTACGAGCAGCCTCATACCCCCGCCTTTTGATATGACAGATATGGGGGCAAGAGAGAACCGGGAGGTGTGCCTTATTCTAATTTTGGCTTCAAGTTATATCTGATTCTCACACTCAGCCCATTCGCATCGGTACCCTCTGGTATCTCAATGTACATTCCCCAACGCCTTACCTCTGGCAAAAATGCTCCGCACTGCTCTACCCGCACGTGCTTATCCTTTCTTGGAGTGCCCCTGGGGGTGGTCGGGGCGTAGTGAGCTTAGACCTGATTAATTGTACAGAAGTGAGGAGCACCCCTGGCTTTACACACCCTGGAGCGAGGGGCGATGTTGGGGGAGATGAGTGCAGCAGCGCAGGTACGTGCACTAGCGAGTTGATGATCAGACGGAGAGCGCTGATGTAGAACGTATCGTAGATGACTGAAGATGGTGTGAGTCTCGTGGAAATATTGTGTCCGTTCCAGTTGTTGTATAGTGATGGTGTTGAGCGACTTGCGGCGGAGAGTGCGAGGGAGAGGGTGAGGTGGGTAAGTGCGATTTGGTGAGTGATTCATGTTACACTTAGATTTGGATAATCCTGATGAGTGTCTACTTAACCTACATGGTGATATGTACACAGGGAAGCACTAGACCGCTCCTTATCGCTCCCCAATCGCTCCCAATCCGGTTCGCCCACAGGCAGCATAGGCACCATCCACTCTGTGGCCTCTACCACATCTACGTCTGCCGGGAGTAGGAGTACTGTGTTCGTACCTCCGCTCCATACGATCCCGAGTCTGTCGGATTTGGGGAGTGATTCGGGGGGGCTAAGTCTGAGTGCCAGTAGGGTGCCCAGTGTGGGTGGTCATGGGCGCACCTGCGGATGATTCGTCGTACCTTTATCCCTCTGACCCGCGCATCATCGCTCCATCCCGATCTTCATCCTTGCGCCGCACCTCATCTCTCACAGACCTGGACGAGGAGTTTGCTAGTGCTGTGTCGCGTGCTCGTTCTGCCAAGCCTGGTCTAGGATTTGGTCTGAGCTTGGTCAATGAAAGCTTGAGTTCAGAGAGTGGTGGAATACTGGGTGTAGGTGAGGGCAGCCCTGTGACAGTGAGCAGTGGCCCGAGATTGGGAGGTGATGTTCGCGTCACCCCACCTCCTACTGGGAAGATAAGGAATCGAGCTCTCAGTGTCAGTGAGGAAGAATTCTTCAGCGCCGGCTCACGCACGTCCAGCGTACCAGGCTCTCGTTCCGAATCAGACTTTTTCTCGGCAGACAGCTCTAGGACAAGCAGGAGTGGCGATGGCCGGACAACGACAGGCCTAGTGACAGACGGGACGGCGTTTGAGTTTACGAGTGGCGAGTCGAACACCCAGATCGTGCCGAGTACGCTGAGCTACAGACGCACGGAGAGTAATTCTTACCTGGGGGATTCGCATGACGGCAGTGGGAGCTATACGCCATATACCTCTAGCGATGGGCGTTCGCGAACACCGTTCTCGTCGAGCGACAGCCGGTCGAGAACGCCATACTCCTATTCGTCCAGCGGATACACGAGTGGCAGTTACGCTCCCGTCTCTACTTCACCGTCATTATCTCGTACCCCTGAGGTTGGAGACGGCGGTATGGTGCATACTCTACGAGCGAGGAGCCATCTGATAGGGAGTATTCTGCAACGACGAGGTCGACACTGAGCGGATGGACGAGGAGCAGGACGCCTACAACGACAACGGAGGGATTTTTAGCTGTGGAGGAGAGGGAGAGCAGTGGAAGTGAGGGGTACACCACAGCCCACGCGTCGCCCAGCCCGAGCACTGCGTCATTTAAGAGCCTTCCAACGATCCCAAGCGAGTCAGATTACCAGACGTTGGACACGTGCAAGACTTGCGTGAGCTCGGAGTTCGTAACTGCGGAGCGGTGCGCGAGTGACGTGGAGACAGACTATGTGACAGCCGAGAAGTGCAAGACCGAGACCGAAACGGATTTCTGGACAGCGGAAGTGTGCAAGAGTGACAAGGAGGAGACGCAGTATGAGACGGCGAGTGTGTGTCTTACGATCCCGAGCGAAGAGGGGTTGAGCACGCCGAGGTCGGGATTGGCTGTGGAGCTTCCTGCTGATGAGCCCATTGACGAGCCCACTGAAGCGCCCATTGAAGCTCCCATTGACGTGACCATTGATATACCCATCGACGTCCCAATTGGCGAGCCCATTGGCGTACTCGTTGAAGTACCCACTGACGAGCCCATTGACGTGCTCATTGACGTGCCCATCGACATGCCCATCGACATGCCCATTGAAGCGCCCGTTGAAGCGCCCATTGACATGCCCGTTGAAGCACCCATTGACGTGACCATTGAAGCGCCCATCGACGAGCCCATCGACTTGCACGAGGAAGACGAAGTGGACGTGGATCTACCGCCCACACCCCCGCCAAAGGCACCGAGCGAAGTTCCCAGTATCATTTCTGAGGAACCAGTGCCGGAGGTGTCGATCACGCCTGAGGCTGTCACTGCACAGGAAGAGATCGCAGAGGACAGCCTGCTGGAGAGCGCCCCGCCTACCACCCAGGCGCCCGAGACACCGACCCCCATCGTCAGTTTCCACACCGACTCGACATTCTCCTACACCGAGAGCGATCTGAGTCCTGCGCACCCAGAACTTGACACGTCTGTCTCGAGTTTGACAGAGTCGAGCGAGCCTTTCGTCATCGCGTCACCTCGAACCGTACAGACTCCAGTTCTCTCGATATCTGACCATGACGAAGAGGCAGTCACGCCGTCTGTGCACCCATCTCAATGGCCTTCTGAGACGGACGTGTCGTTTGATTCGTCTGCACTGCAGCCTACCCCTAGTATACAGAGTGCCGCGTTGCAGGAGGGTATCGATGGCAGCTTTGAGACATCATTTATGCGCCCGAGCATATCGCCGCTGAGCAGTATTGCGAGGCTAACGCCTATCACAGAGACTATTTCTTCCCTTACACCGTCTCCTAGGCAGATGTTTCACCCACTTGAGTTGGTATCTTCGCCATCCAGTGGACCGACTCCGTTGACAATGTCGACGAGCGCATCGAGTTCACTGTCAAGGACCGCGTCCACCGTGAGTGGTGTGTCGAGTATCGCGATTGAAGCGGAGGAGGAAGATGCAGTGAGTGTCAGAGCTGCCAGTGATATTTCGACGGTGCCGACCCTGCTGTCGACGATAAGTCAGGAGTCGGTGCGATATGTGGGTAGTTCTTTATCGCGTTGTGGTTGGAATGCTGATGTGATGTGTTGGTTTTCCTTTGCTGTAGATGCCAATGCCCTCCCCGCGGACTGTGCCTCTCCCGGTATCCCCTGTCCCTACTTCGGTGTCGATGAGTGTGAGTGTCACGACACCGCACGATGATATTCCTTCCATCCATTCTGTCCTCGAGACGGAGCACACGCGCACGCACACTGAACAAACTATCACGCACGATATTGACCGTCTTCTTCACCATATCCAAGAGATTGACCAGTTCCGCGGCCAGGAAACGCAGGAGATCGCAGAGAATGTGCGTGCTATCCGGACGAACTGTACGATTTGTCGGAGTACGTCCGTACGACGCTCGTCGTGGAGAGATCCCCACCTGTGCCAACTAGAGACACATCTGTCGGGGCCAGCAGCGTGCTCTCGACGCCAAGAGGACCGCGCCCGAGGCCAGGTATCACCCTTGTTGAGATGTCCCCACCTCCTATGCACCCCTCCTCCCGAGTTCGCCCAGTTCGGTCATGTCGTTCTTGTCCTCACATCACTCGGATGATGATTTAAGTCTGTTGGAAACAGAATTGGAAGCGGAGACTGTGGAACGCTCATATTCGGTCTCTAGGGAGCCATCTTGGCCCTCGTCATCATCCCCATCCTCATCCTCGGTCACACCATCTGAAACTTCCTCGAGTGAGCCGTCCCCTGGTCCCAGCTTGTCAGCGACGTCTTCGTCATCACCGACCCCTCCACCCTCATCACCTACACCTTCGACGGCGTCGACCACCACTGTGCGGCAGCGCGATAGCATTACGATTGAGACGCTGAGAGACATGCTGATCTCACTGAGAGAGCAAACGACTGCCCTTTGGGAGGGCCAGGTGTCAACAAACCATATGCTGGACGAGTTGCGCGAGACACGCTCAGGTCCTCTGGACACTACGGAGTTTAATGACCGGTTTCGGGCCATCGAGGTTCTTTTGCGTCAACTCATCGATAGACGGGTCGAGACTGAACGACCTGTCCACATTCAGCCACCGTCAGAGTCTATTTCTGATGTCGGCACAGATGTAGACGCAGAAGATTTCCAGCAACGCTGGCAGGATTGGACGCGGCTCCTGAGGGACCGCGTCCCTCTTGCTGCACCCCAGCCACGCAGAGCTCGTGGAAATCTTGATGATGAGCTGCTTGCGCTATTGCAGGCACCCCCGCCCCAAGTGCCTATAGGCGTCCAGCCACCTCCAGCATTGATCCCCTTCGCTTACCAACCTGCAGTACGTCCTCCAAGGTCAAGGAGTACCAGTCCTATATTGCGGCCCGGAACGTTCCCGATTGCCACAGAGCCAGTGCTGTTCTCGCCCGAGATTCAACACCCACCTATCCACCGTCGTACTCGACCTCGCCCTGACGGTCGAAGACTGCGCGACCGACCCGCAACTGAGCCTGAGACAGTATTTCCTGGTGCACCTAGGCCGCCTACTCAGCAACCGGTGCCACCACCCGGAGATTTTTCCGATCCCAGACCTCCACCCCGGCGAACTAATATTCCTCCTCCTATGCCAGTGAGCACTACTGTTGAATGAATCTGACAAAATACCAACCTTTTGCTTAGATCGACTTGCACGGAAGACCTCCAAGCGCACCTGCTAACCTTGAACCCAGTGACGACATTCGCGAGCCTCAAACCTGGTACCGTCCCCCAAGATCACAGGGCTTAGTACGTCGTTCAACGGATTTGATTTCAAGATGTAACTTTGGTAATTCTGCAGGGCATGCCTCCTCCGCCTGTTATCCCTGGTCAACAAGGTGGTCGCCAATACGTGCCAATGCCTCCGGGACCAGTAAGTAAATCTTAAGGTATGATTTCCGAGGTTCTGATTGCTCTCTCCCAGACCGTAGTGCAACTGCCACTCTTTGACACATTGATGAACATCCTTCGGGCAAGTTACACTATTGATATCCTGTCGAGACGCTAATTCTCTTTTTGCGTTAGGAACATCGTCTCGCCCAACTTGCGACGGTGGACCAACAACGAGAATTGATGAGGTACATGAGAGGCCTGAATGAATGGCTTGAAAGGGACGTGCAGGACCGTCAAGCAGAATTGCGGGGGGTGACCGCTCGTGTTGATGAGCTCAGAAATGATCTTGCACGACTAGGATTAGGGATGCAGCCTGGCGTGCAACCACCAGGTGTGCAACCACCAGGTGTGCAACCACTAGGTGTGCATCCAGGTCATGGAGTAATGCCTGTTGGACCTGTCCCTCCTCCATTTGTCTTTCCCGGACCCCTTGGATTCGTTCCTGCGGGAGTCCCAGAGCCTCCCGTCATTCCCACCTATGATGGTTCTCCTCAACCGGGCCAATATACTCCTTTCATACCCGATGAACCCCCACGGCGCTGGCCGCAGGGCATGCCAGAACCTCAACATTACCCTCCAGGTGCGCAAGGACCAGTACTCCCTGGTGGTTATGATGGTTACCCCCAACCACCACATGGCGAGCGGTACGAGCGTCCCCCTGGCGATGAAGATGAAAGATTTTTTCCCACAAGTCCTCACTCGGGTTCTAGCGATGCTGTGCTCCCCACGAGACCATTGCCAGCACATACAATCGTAGTTCAACAGAGTGATGCTGAAGGGAGTGAGACTAGTACGGATACCCAACAGACCTATGCGCATCCCAACGTACACCATGTACAACACCCTCCGGAGGATCACATGGCACCAGGATATCAGCAAGATATCCCTGACGTAGTACATTCCGGGGAGCATACACACAGCCATGGAAGCCCTCGGCCCCAGGATATCAATATCAATGTGCGTCCACAACCGACTCCACCCCCCCAAGTAGGTATGGCAGATCAGCCTGCGCCAATACAGCCGGAGCCTCCATATGGATTCGCAGGGATACCACCGCCACCCGTGTTTGGAGGGCCTGATCCCGGACCCATGTTTGCAGGGCCTGGTTCCGGACCCGTGATAATTCACCCACCTTTTGAACCAGCACCCAGACCCAGGTCCAGGTCCAGATCTAGTTCCGGGAGAGGAGGCCCAGTGGTCATACAACAAAGCCCTCCGTCTGGCCCTGTCGTATTACAATTGCCGCCCGGGGAACAGGTCGCCAGATCTCCCACTCGCCAAGAATTTGGTGTTCCTTCAGGTGGCGGCCCTGGCGGTCCAGTAGTGATGTTACCTGGTAGCGTGGGACACGTTGATCGTTCACGATCTCGATCTCGGTCACCTCGTAGAGGGTACCGCGATAGATATCCTCCATACGACGATTTTTATTATCGACGAGGTCGACATCCTTATTCTCCTGATTATGATTACCCAAGACATTGGGATGACCGTCGACGCCGATACTACTCACCTGAATATGGCCCCCATCGCCGTTATTATGACGACTACTCTCCCCACGGAGAGGGCTGCGTGATTATTACTCGCGATCGCCATCACCTCGACGAGGAGACGAGAGGTATAGAGATGATGACCGCCGCCGTCGCCGCCACCGCAGACACCCCGATTCGCCCTCTCCCGCACGTTCGGAAGAAAGAGACTCAAGCAGGAGGGACGATCGCTCAACGACTCACAGGGCTCCCACGCGTCCGGAAGAAAGAGATCCAAGCAGGAGAGACGACCGCTCAGCGACTCACCGAGCTCCCACACATTCGGAAGAAAGAGACCCAAGCGGGGGAGACGAGCGTTCACCGACTCACAGAACTCACAGAACTCCTAGTCGAATTTCAGAGGCGGATGCACCTGGTCGTAGCCATCACACCCCTAGTCGCAGACATTCAAGTGTTGAAGGGGACCCTGGCCGCAGAGGTCCCAGTTATGACGAAGGCGGTCACCTACCGACTCACAGATCTCCCACTCAGTATTCAGAAGAGGATGCACCTGGTCATAGCCATCACACACTTAGTCATGGCCATCGTACACCCAGTCATGTCCATCGCACGCCTAGTCGTGGCCATCACACACCTAGTCATGGCATCCCTCCTTCTCCGCGGTTTGAGGATGCTCCGCGGTCACCAACTGTCATCAGGATTGAACAACCAGAGCGAACGCATCCTGAATCACACACCGGCCGATCAGTGATCATGGCTCCGCACTTTTCACCAGGTATGTGGGTTACTGTGAGCATGGACTTACTCTGACAAACCTTCCAGGACGTCCGCTGAGCCCCGCTAGTGATCTTCGACATCAACTGCGTCATTCCCCTGATGTATACATTCCAACTGTCCATCCCTCACATTCAATACCTCATGTAAGAGACGATGATGTACGGTCACGTCATCGAACACCTTCACTAACGGAACACGACGGTGGACGACCACGCCATCGATTGCCCCCTGCAAGGGATGACGAAGCTGACCCACGTGGACGTCGTGGTGCCTCGCAATTTTCGGACGACGAAGCTGACCCGCATAGACGTCGCGCTACTTCACGAGTTCCGGATGACGAAGCTGACCCACGTCGCGCTGCTTCACGAGGTCCGGATGATGATGAAGCTGACCCCCACAGACGTCGCGTTGCTTCGCATATTCCGGGTGACGAAGCTGACCCTTACAGACATCACGCTGCTTCGCACATTCCGGGTGATGAAGCTGACCCACATGAATATCGCGCCGCTTCGCGGGTCCCATCACGCACAGGATCGCACGCAGGAGGTATGCCAGCCGCTATTGAACAGGATGATGGAAACCGCCAGGAGAGCGAGATGGTTCATATCCCGCCGCCTAGTCATGGACAACCGCCAGATCATGATCCTCATGTGCACTTTGACCCAACGACTACCGGATTTGATGAAGCCCTTAATCGGCGGCACGAACGACTGGACGAAGTAGAACGTGAACTTAACCAGGTCGTCCAAGGCGCTCATGAAGCTGAAGACCGTCGTGAAGCAGAGTTCCGAGACAGTGAAGAACACAGAGAGCAAATCTTCCTCCAGAACGAACAACGTCGTGATGATGAGACAAGACAACGCGGTGACGAACTATTTGCTGAACTGGAAGAGAGAGCGCGCAGTGTACCCCCCTCTACCGGTCCCTCCTCCTGGATCAGGGGATAATGCTTCCATCATCGAATCAATTCACGCAGCTTCTCATGAGGCGGCTTCTCGCCATGCCGATGACATTTTGGAGACGGTTCGACTTGAGCGCGAGCAGTCTGCTCGCGAAAGGGAGTCTTTTATATCCGAGAGGGAGCAGGAACGTGCTGAATTTGCCGCCGAGCGCGCTCGCATGGATGAAGAGCGCGATCGAAGGGTTCATGACCTGGAGGAAGAGCTTGCGCGTGTTCGTGGGGAGCTTGACAGCGAAAGACAGCTACGACAGACTGAGAACGAGGAACGGGCGGCTGCTAATGAACGTGACGAAGGCATGCACGCGCAATTGAGTGACATCACACAGCTAGTTTCGGAGCAACGCGACGAGTGTACCAGGAAGAGGGAGCTTATGGATCAGCGATGGGAAGAAAAGCAGGGCAGGCGTGCTGAAAAAGATGCGCAGTTCCATGAACTCAAGGATATGGTCTCCAGGCTCGTTCAAGACCGTGAGGCGGATCGAATTCAAGAGGAAGAGCGCAGGCTACGGGAGGAGGGCAAGCCCGACATTCAAGTGGTGCTCGATGAACTCACCCGGCAAAATAACGAAATGCGGGAGGCGCTGCAAGTTCTTTCTCAGGGTGTGTCTTGGGCATGTCTTTGGGTCGTACTTTGCTGATTTTATTCCTCATGGCAGACTGGCGAGCTGAAAGTGAGCGGCGGCATGAAGACACCCTTGAAGCTGTCCGTGCTACTGCCCGGGAACAAGTCCCATTCAATGTGCAAGTGGTGAGTCCTGTGAACTGTGTATTTATTTATTTTAAATGCCCATACGAAATCGTTTCTAGTATCTTGACGAATTCAGCAAAGCACTCGCGACTGAGGTCCGGATGCTTCTCGGAGAAGTTGGCAAGCTTCGTGAAGAACGCCGTAACATCCAACAGTGAGTTTTTGCTTGAACACGTCGTTCGTGTGTCTGAACATCTATCTCTTCTAGTGAACTTGGATACCTGATGATGATGAAAGCTAAATACGGACCGGGAGGGGAGTTTGATCCTGACTGGTAAGATGTCTCAATTCAACTTAGGCTGTTCTTATCTTTCTTTTGACAGGAAACCGCCGATGCCTGGTCCTGGTGGGCCCGATGCGCCACCACCGCCCGAGGCACCTCCCCCGCCTCCTGAAGAACCTGGGCCTGCCCGTCCAGCATGGCGCACACTCCCGCGCAGCACGAGGCGCATTCGCAAGACGCGTCCCGACCAACCACCGCCCCCTGAACCTGGTCCTGCACCTATGAGGCAGCCTGTACATTCCTGGGTCACCTGGCATCGTGAGTATCGATTTCTCATCGCATCGTTAAGAAGGTGAATTGACGCCATGGTTACTAGCAAACCCTGCGCTGGCACCTACGCCGCCGTCGATCGAGCCTAACCTGATTGTACCTGACCAAGGCAGCCCTGGTCTCTTCGGACCTCGCTCGCCACGCAGCTACCGGTAAAGACTCGCCGATCCATCACAAATAAAACCCAGGAACCATATTCTACGCATCATGTCCTACCACTATCTTGATGACATCTAACGAGTACCTTTGCCTCCTATCTTTATCTTGCTCTTCATTTATCCTCCCCCGTATCTACTACTCGCATCTGCTTTTATTTTTGTGTTCGTGCTCTGCTCTTGGTTATGCTGCATATTTTATGATCTCATCGTATGGCTTCTCTGGAGCTCGACTCACGTTTTATTAAATTTGCGAATGGATGCATACTTTTCACTTTCGAACTGCAGGTCATGAAGCCTGAGGTTTAGCTGATATAAGTTGTAGCTATGCGAGGGAAGATGCAAGTATGAATGCAATATGAATGCAATACTGGCTCCCAGTGAAATAATGCAAGTAACTATTACTGATTGTCCATGATTGACTAGTGATTATCGACGATTATGAGGTCTTAAAGCTTCTGCCGCTGAGGGTGCTCGCGGTGGTAAGGATGATGATGCGACATCACTGGGCTGCTTCTCGGGCGATGGCGCCCTCTAGCACCAGCTTCAACTTGACTGCAAGGCCCTCTGTAAGAAGGGTCGGGCCATCAGAAGTACAAAGGCGATAAGATGGCATGGGCTGGTACGTGTCGGGAAGAATCTTTCAGGACTTGATGAGTAATACTGAGTAGAACGCACGTCACCAAAGCTCACTTTGCTATCCCGCACTAATACAGAGGCGATGATATCATCCGGGTTACCTATTCTGCCTAGCGCTGGAAGGTTGCGGCTGTCTGTGACATTGTTCTTGGTTCCAGCCGAACGTAAGTAAAGTAGGAGGCATCACATACCGTGTATATGCATCCAGCCTTGTTGCAATTGCAGTGCACCGTTAATCCAAATGTCATCCACTTTTCTCGTAACCCGGTTTGGATTGCCTCGTGCATGGTTGCGCGAAACTTGGCTGTGTAGACAGTCAGTAGGTATGTGAATCGAGCGGGATAATGCAGTGTAAGTGACGTACGATTCTCTACGAAATCATTTAGCCCGCGTCCGTGTCCGCTTCTCCTGCAGTCTCTGCGGGTAACCATCCCATGACAGAGCATGAATCGGGGGTCGGTGGTGGCTGAGTGAGGAAGGAAACTGCATAGACTGAACCTATCATTGGAAGCGAAACGGGGGTGGTAGAAAATGTCGGGCCGAGATAGGTCTGATATTGCTGGATTGGAAGTTGAATAGCGCGCAAAGAGAGCATGCGTGCGACTGGTTAGAGACGCAGCTCGGGAAGCGTGCACTGAGAGGATACGGGTGGAAGTGAAAAGGCTGAAGGACTTTCTACACAGTAGCGAGTTGGACGGTCGTATCATGCACACAGCGAACCGTGCCGCCACGTTAGTTGATGCCCGTAGCATGTTAGGCGGTGTCTGAGACTCTGAGTGCTGCAGCAAGGTTGGTCGCCGAAGCAGTCCCGTCGATCGAGATCGGTAATGGCTGATTTTGGACAGTCACGTCATCCGCAACCAAACTGTGACTGCGACCCGTCTTTCAATTCTTCCAGCTCGAGGTTTCAAAGGTTAAAGCTAAATGTCTACGAGAAACTATGTATAGCAGTCAGATGAGTGCGACATGCTCTTCTACTTGAGTTGGAAAGATAGTTGATTTATTTATTCAAATAGCTTTTCTAGGAATAAGTAGTATGATACGCCGCCTACTCAGCTCCGAAAGCTGGAATGGGATTCAAACAAGCAAGACGCCATTTAACATATTATCATAGCCTCGACTCCACTGAGCTCCAGAACAATTGTGATCTATCAATGTGTATCACTCCTATGGCAGTAAGGCTAATCGCCGTATCAGTATTTGTCCTTGAAACACAATGTCGCATCATTGTGTGTGACGCTGTGCTAAGCGCTGATTATTGATGCATATAGACATAGCCCGACGACATTGACAGCAGGTTGCTAATAATTACACGATGCCTGTGAGCATTTGGTTGTCAAAGGCCGGATACAACATTTGTTCCGTGGTGGACTTCAAGTAGTGTCCTTGCAGATTGCGAGTCTGACCCATTATCCAGAGAACTAACTCTCGATGCGATTCGTTCATTTGGAGGCGATCTGTTTGATTCATTCTCGTCACAGGGACAGCCTAATTCTAATTTAGAGCCAGGGGAATCAAAGTTAAGTTTTCCCAAACTATGTATGATAATGATATCATGTTTTTTTTTCACCTGCCATTATGATCTGTCTTGCAATGAGATCTGACACCGAGTATAACGATACTTACACGAAATTGTCGAAGATGCCCACGACTTCACACTGATCTCCAAGATATCACATCATGGCTTCAAGCGCCATCCCATTGGATTCCGCTGATGTATTGTCGACGCCGGTGGAATATATTCTATATGGTGAGTATCCAATATGTTCGTCCTCCCCATGCCAGCTGGGTTCTTTGGAGACATCACCCAAAAATCATATGTGACCAGACATGCGTTATACCTCTTGCAAACTCTACTTGCTGATGGGGTGGTGGGTTCACATTTTTACCACTATTCCTCTGGGATTATAGAACTGTCTTGTGTTATAAAAGGTTTATCACCGTTTTTTTTATTTGGCACTCCGTTTGGGCTATCATCGTACCAAGCTTACTGTGGTGCATCTCCGTAGGTTAGGTCGCAATTTCTCAGGAAGTGGTGTGCTCTGACGAAGTGATCGGCATTGCTGCAAATTACTATATTGCGCGAGCCAGTACTAGTTCTGTGGGCACCTTCACTAAACCGCTTGGACAGTGGATCACTGCGTTCGTAGTTTTGACTATTACTACTAATCTTTCGAGTTCAGGTAAACATTTTTCCATTAGCGCAACGCCGAAGCGCGCTGAATGTGTACAGGATTGTTGGCATATCATGTCTGGGTGATTGACTGCGATAGTTCTACAATCCGCCCTACGAAGAGCATCATGATGCCGATAGTGCGTGAACTCACGAATGCGGCTGTTTTGTATTCTGCAATGCTCGTCACCACACCAATCTGTTTCCTCTGTGTAACATGGTCAGACTGCCGCCCGCATAACCGTTACACCAAAAGGTGAAATACTGAAAGCTTAGCTTTCAGCATCAGCGACAGTATATGTACTGATTATGGGAACTCAGGTAAGCCGGCGTGCTTACACTCTGCTCGAATAAAAACTGATCTTCAACCCACTAGGTCGTGCCAATCATGGCGATTGCCTTCTACGTGCTCATTCACTTTGCAATCACCAGGCAAACTCGCAGTTATCTCTTAATTGTCCCTCCAGGAACAATCAGTGAGGTGGAATAAGGCAAACTATGGCCTTTGCAGGCCAATGTCTGCTAGCTTACGCTCAAAGATGGTATCTCGTTCTATGCAATAGAATTCATACCGTATTAGAAAAATATTGCGCTTTCTCGCAGCAGAATTCATGTTGTAACTTTACTTATCTACCTGTACTTGCTATCATTTGCTGTACCGAATATTGTGACTATATTCTCTTGTTGCTCCTATAAGTTCCTATGTCCCATATACAAGCACATTTTTATGATGCTCTCTTCGTTTGAATCTGTAGTCCCTTCGTGGTATTCTGGAAAGAATGATCTTCATTTGTACTGATATCTGAATACTGGTTCATTTTCTTGACTCTTCATGCCCGTCCGTATCCCTGATGATGGCGGCCATCTAGATTAATCGCTCTGCGCTTCCGGATCCACATGACGTCAAGGCGTGAGACTGTATTGAGTAAGCAGCTGTACAGTACCATCAAGCCCCACCAATAGTACCTCACGCTTCCAAGGCGTTCTCCTCAGACACTTCCATCATCAAACAAGGTATGTTACAATCTGGTTTCTGTTGTTGCTTCTCGATTTAACCTTTCGGTACCACCAGGATGAGAGACAAGTGGAAGAAAAAGCGTTCCCGTAGGCTCAGGCGCAAACGCAGAAAGATGAGAGCCCGTTCCAGTTCGTATTCATTCCATAACCTTTCCCTCATCCTCTCACCATACCAAATCAACAGAGTAAACGACTAAGCAGAGTGAGCCTGTGACGCTAAGGCCTCAACAAAATCTGCGGTGTGCTAACGCCGGGCAGGTCTTGCCCCGTCCTCCTTCGCGCGCCAAATATTTTGGAGTGGGACGGATTCTTCTCAGCTGGACATGCTGCTGGGGGTGCTGCTGGTCGTGAATTGTACTCTTGACAAATGAATCAAATGTTGCTCTGTCCCATTCATTTTACACGGTCTTGCTATATATTGTATTGTGATGTCAGATCGCCGTGAAGCATGAATTTTGTGAACCAAAATAGCTTCGACTACCAAGTATATGTTGACGCGTCTTGCAAAATTGCACCTGAAAATTCTAAATTCTCATCTGAACGTCGAACACATCTACCAGCCATCACTAGCTACAGAACATCTCTGCACCCTTGTCTCCACAAAGACTCAGAACCAACTTTTGAATTGACAATGAAACGTGCCAACACATCTACTTCTACTCCCAAGATCATTCTCAAGCCGCGCCTCGCGCAAACGCCAGCTACGCCGTCTGTCGTAGATGAAGATGACGACGACGACTCTGTCGAAGATGGCGAACTCCAGACCAAGAGAGAGGATTCAGAGGGTGTCCTTGACGAAGACGAGCCCGGCGATGAGGAACCTGAAGAAGGTGCTGTCGAGGGTGAAGGAGATGAAGGCGAAGGCAGCGGAGCGGAGGAGGTAGGGGCTGAAGGCGTGGAGCCACGACCGTTCCCTCGTCCACGGGGACGCCCGCGTGGAAGAGGTCGAGGTGCAGCCCCAACTGGTCCCGGTCGCGCAAGAGGACGCGGGAGAGGAAGGGGACGAGGGCGAGGGCGGGGTCGTGGGTCTTTGACTATTCGACTACCAAAGCGCGACGGCGAAGATGCTGACGACGCTGAAGCAGAGGAAGGGGAGCAAGATGGTCGACCGTTCATGCGAGTAGGAGGAAAGGTTTACTTTATTGACGGCGACGAGTTTGTCACGGACCCGGACGAGAAAGGTGACGAGAAGGTCGATGTGGACGGCAATCTTCTAGGAGGTGTGTACTATCTTTTTTGTCTCTTGACCTTGTTAAAACCTGCGTTGTGGAAAATCCAGGTCGTAGGTTCAAATGTCACACCTTCGTGCTACCCCAGCGACACCCGAGTCGGCAATATATGCTTGCCATCGACGCCGCGCGTGCGTCAGGGTTTCGTGATTCTCTATATTTCTTCCGGCGTAATCCGCTCGCGCTCAAGCTCTCTGCTACACAGCCCGAAAAGGAGTTCCTCATCTCAGCAGGGAAGCTCGGTGCACACCTGAAAACGCGTAGCGTCACCCTCGTCACCGCACGTAGTGCATATAAACTCCATGGTGCCAAGATGATCCTAGGTACGCTCTTATTCTTTTATCATGAAACTCATCCGGAATTTATTATTTCTGGCTATAGATGGCCGCTGGGTCACAGACGACTACTACGAATCGAAATGTCTCGCTGAGATCACAGAAAAAGGACTTAAGCCAGGCGACCTCGTCGGCGAGCTTCCAGACCCTCTGGGTGCCTCATCTCAAGCCGTACCTTCAGGCCAGCAACCCACCACCTCTACGTCATCGGGTATATATCGAGCGGGAGGACCTACGACCATTTTCGGGAGCACTGGTTGGGGACCGTTTAGTGATGGTCCACACAGCGCGGTGCGCAAATCGCTGCTAACAAGGGAGGGGCTCACGGAAGAGAACTGGATGATGGAGGCTGCGAGGCGTGTCAGAGATGCTGGTGAAGAATGGACGCGGATGAGAAGGGAGGCAAGGGTTGCGTGTGGTGGGATCCTTGGGGATGGACTTGACAAGGGGAAGGGGAAGGAAGTGCAGGTAGCTGAAGGAGAGGAGAAGCGAGGGGCAACTGAGGAGCTGGAAGGCGCGGAGAGGAAGAAAGCGAGAGCTGAGGAGTCACAGTATCCGCTTGGCGTTTATGAGCCCCACACAGGACTGGTGCATTGTATGTATATCCCTACTACTTTTTCCCCCTGTTTTTATTTTGTTTTCTCTAGATCGCGCAGACACGCAACCTACTCGCTGTCACTGGGAACAAATTGGACAGCGGAAGATGCTTCGGGGAACGAAGGCAGGAAATGGCGCTTGGGCGCTTGCGTGGGTCGATACACACATTGAACTGCCCACGCCGGAAGAGGCAGATCCATATGCACAAACGAGAGCAGAAATTTTGGAGGCAGTAAGGGAGACGTGTTAGGAGATCAATTCCTGTCCCACTGTTTGCACAATGGAAAAGGTCATGCGTGTTGCCTGATGAAATTTAGTTATATTCAGGGGTCCATATTTTTTGTTGTTGTACCGAGCTTGGACTGATTGTGTAACGACAACAACGCCACTATGCATGTAGGGTCATCATCGATCTTTACGAGCCTAAGGCTTGAAAGCTTGATACCTGATACTATTGGGAATGTCTGATAAGGACTTTTCGCAATGCCAAAAGGCAATTCACTTGACGTTCCTCAACTTGAAGTGCAGAGTCTGCAGACCGCGTTGACTGGATTTGAGTTTGAGTTTGATGTCTCTCGCACAGTTACCACCCATTCTGGAAATGCACTGCTAAATGTCTGTGCAGGCAACCCAACCATGCCGGTGAATCTCAAGCCTACAATTATGCATATGGTTCGTCCTAATAAATCTAACTCATTACCTCCCATTCACTAGTAGCGCCAAGTGGTCTCCGGTTGTTCAGGTCTAACTTTATGACAACTTGAAGGTCGGCAACCCTCGACTCGAATGAATCACTAATAGTAAAAGCTCCAAGTTGTCACTGCCAACTACACACGTGGCATGACTATACGACATGTCAGGGACGAAAGACTCTGACTCTGCAGTGTTGTGTTTGGACTCTGTTGGTACCTACTTGCTTCAAATCCAGACTTGTCATCCTTTGATGGTACGTACTTATTGACAAAATGCTGACATCACCTTGTGTCATCAACGAACAAGTGCTTGCAGAAAATAGATTCCATGCTGCTGTCTTGTTTGACGACATCGGTACATCAATCAAGGAAAGTCAAGTAAACAAGTCAGATCTGCGGTATTGAATTGAACAGACAGATTCTTCCCCCTACTAGGTGCGTACCGTCATATAGCAATGCGACTGGACCTCATTTTTCATAAGGATGGTAACAATGACTGCCAGCGGATCTTGCCGTACTCGACGAAAATAAGCACAGCATCCGAGCCTTGCAGGCACTGCCTTTGGAGTCGAGCGCCGTGACCTTATCGATTAAGTTCTATTCTGATGCTGATGGACGCTGAGAAATGTTCTTTAGTAGCGGCCTTTTCGTTGTTCCATACCGGTCTTCCTTCGTGCCCTTTGTCCAATATCATCCGTCTGGCGGTGAGTCTCTGCTTTGACTGCAACTCCAAGTCAAGGGATTGGAATTAACCACACAGCAGAGCGAACGATGCGACTGCTACATACCGAGAAACTAATATTAGAAACGCCCACAGTTGTGCGACCTTACGCCATCTTATCTCACCGATGGTTCGCCGACTGTGAAGAAATATCTTTCCAAGACTTGCAACGCACGCAAGTTCCTCCTAGCGAAGGCCCTCACGGCAATTATGCGGTATGTCATTTCGTTCGAGCTTCTACTTGCGGTGTTTACCATCAATCTACTTCAAGGAACCCACCTTCCCTCCCAACGTTCAAAGCAAACAAGGCTATGAGAAGTTCCGAGGAGCGCGCGATCATGCATCTCGAGCTGGTCTTGAGCATATCTGGATCGACACTTGCTGCATTGATAAGACCAGCAGTGCCGAGTTATCAGAAGCGATCAATTCCATGTACGCATGGTATCAAGACTCCGCTGTGTGCTACGTTTACTTGCACGATGTCGATGACGATGGGGACCTTCAATCTGCTCTCGAAAAGGCTGATTGGTTCCAAAGAGGATGGACTTTACAAGAGCTAATCGCTCCAGATAATGTCTATTTCTTTAACAAGCACTGGATTAAGATCGGGAGCAAGGCAACATTTGCGCGTATCCTGAATAAAATCACCCACATTCGTCAAGATATTCTGCTGGGTAACCCATGCAATCCCAGTATCGCGGAGAAGATGTCATGGGCTGCAGGACGAAAGACACAGAAAGTAGAAGACAGAGCTTATTCTTTGATGGGGCTATTTGGCATCCACATGCCTATCATTTACGGAGAAGGAGAGAAGGCTTTCAGGCGCCTGCAGCTCGAGATCATGAAATCATCGGATGATCAAACCATTTTCGCCTGGCACGATTCACTGGCACATCCTAATTCTGTCAGAAATCGCGGACTGTTGGCATCTGCACCTGACGTTTTCTCGTGGGCTTCTCCGGTCCTCGTCATCGAGCATTCCCATTTTATCAGCCATCTTCTTCGCATTGCAGGGAGTCGTAGCCCCTTTCGTGACCTGCCGCGTGGCTATTCCATTTTGAATGACGGCATTCACATCACTCTTCCTATGAAGCGAGTTGGAGATGCGTGGCTTGCTGTCCTAAGATGCCACAGGGAAGACCAGGAGTTTCCCTACGGGATCTACTTGAAAGAAAGACCTGGTTGCGATGATTTTCTTCGGACTTCGCCCACAAAACTTCAAAAACTCGAGTCCGCAGATCTCGAAGGCCTTGCCCCGCGTACAATACGTATTGTGGTCGACCATAATACACTACCAACCATTAATCGCCGACAATTCTTCACTTTTCAGTCTACAGATTCCGTTTGGGAGCACGGCGGTTACTATGTATGCCCTAAGCCGGGAGGCCGCCATGATGTGGGTCAGGGGAGTGGCTACCGAGTTCTTGATCCCTACACTCGGATCGAGCTTTCAGATAACATGCAATGTGGCTGCGTTTACTCGCAGGGCCCACGTGGCGAAGTAACGGTCCTTCTCATTGGGATCGAATATCACCGTCCTTGGGTACACCTCCTCACAAATGCTGACCTACACAAATATGTCGACACTTCGCGACTTTTCCGTCGAGCTGTCAATGACGCCTCTCTTCTGATGTCTTCCCCTACTTCCACCCTATCTAGCAACCAAACCGATCCAATTTCTCCTCTTGCGCTATCTTCCCTCACTTTCCCCCAATCTAATCCTATTTCTCCTCGTTCACTATCTTCTCGTTCACTGTCTCTCTCCCATACTTCCGGGGGGACCAACAACCACAGATTCCCACAGAGGAATTCCACCGCCCCTTATGTTCAGCTGGGCGGAGGTGGAACTGGGTGTCCTGTGTGTTCTATCATTCAAAACTACTCCGTCAACATGAACGACATCAAGAATAGTAGGGCTGATTTCTTGATTGAGACGATGCCAGACAAGCAGATTGAGGTCGACATCCGAAAGGGACATGTTCGCGTCTCTGAGGCGACGCTTGAAGTGGACTATATCATAACGGTAGCTGTATCTATTCCCGAGTCAGAATTTTGATTTAGTGGATGTGGCCGACTTTTACCTAGAGTACAAGTACATGGAGTATACTAATACCCCGGGTACTAGTACAACTTCCAGTACTTATGTACCGGTTACGGTATCGACATAGCCCCATACCTCAATTATGAAGGATTGCATTATTTAAACAGCAACAGTGGTTCCTGTGGGTAAGTATCATTGGTTGTGCCTAAAACAGATCACAGCCTTGACTAAGGACTAACCACACTGGATCCTGAAGAAGTGTTACACTAACTCGAAGCAGACCCTACCAGTTCGACTCATGAGCCGTAGCGCGCGGGTATTTCTGGTTGGAGGTCTTCGGCGGGGCTGAAGTTCCGCGCACCTACCCCATCTCAAACCTGTGCTGAGTGTCCATTATGGCATGATGGTTACTCAGGGTCCTCCGAGCCATACAAGAAATACTTAAAACGAAAGGGCTGGCCAATTCCCTTTCTACAAGGATATCATGCCCCTTGAGTCGCCCCTCAGTTTCCTCACCAATGCCTCTCCTTCCTCTCGATTATCGTGGTCGCATTTCGACCTGGATGTCGCGTCTGGAATAGCAATTTTTTTCGGAGGCAAAGCAGCCGTATCTGTGCTTGCATTACAACCGCTATATGGTCGTATGTGGCATGGATGGTACAACGCACCTGGAAGCCATGCAATTGTGTGGGAGCTGGTTAGAACATTGTTGCAGGGTTCCATCTCATCGTATTCAGAGAGACTCTCGCTCTCCCTCGGCCTAGATGGCAAGAAAGGGCCCAAATACATTGCATCGCGGTCAGGAACGGTCATGCAACATACTCGCCATCTCGCGCACGTGCTTAATAACAGCAACTGGAGGGACAAGGAGTGCAAGCCAGTGGTCGTGGGTCAGAGGTTTAGCCCGACGCCGATGCAATTGATAATCGTGGACTTCAAGGAGAAAGTGCGGACGGGAAATGACACGCTTCCCCCAAGAAGTTCTCGTTACTCCTCATTACCCATAATCGCTAGCGCCACTAGCATCGCAGCTTGCGCCATTTGTGCCAGTGTTGAGGACTGGCTGTCCTTCAAGATGATTCTGCTCGGGATGATCTCCTCTGGAATCACTTCTTTCATTATGTGCACTGGGAAAATCACCCTTGAACGGCTCAAACCGGCGGATGGAGTTCCACCTGGAGACGGTATGCTACTGTCGGATAATCGCATCGTGATATTGAGGGGCAACGAGGAGGACGTAAACGCTGTGACCAAGGGAAAACTGCGATTGAAGCTCAAAGGAGGGGGTTGCGCCCTCCTTCTCTGCGCAGTCATAGCATTGTTGCAAGTTACCCTACAAGTCGTATTCATACCTTTCGGGTCGCTACCAGGGCAACTCGTGTTCCTGTTGTCGCTCCTAGTGTCTGGGGGATGTAACCTATATCTATCAGCAAAGGAAGATGATGTGCAATCAAGTGCCCTCATCACCCTACTGAATACTCCGGAGGTGAAAACGTACCAAGCCAGTTCTAGAGCATCCGCTGCCGTTCTGGCGTGCCTAGCGCTCTGTTGGGAGTCTGGCACGGCACCTACGCAAGTCCTCCAGGAAATTGTCCCCATCAGGCCAAGACCGTGGAAGGCGTGGTCTGAGTTTGTCGTGGAGAACATCAGGAAGAAGAGCACGCACTTCATGTATGGGGACAATGAGTCAACGGGCGACCTGGACGAACGGGAAAAGAAGCTTTTGCTCGAGCTCGTTGACGACGCTCATGCAGCATACGACCAATATATTAGGGATCACAATATATCCATTGCATAGCTGTACCGATATCTGCGCCATGTACATATGCTTGAGTCTGCGCAGTGTAATTCTTCATTAAACTTTAGAAGCGATATGCAAGATTTTCTTGTTAGAACGTGTTCATGTAACCCGGTCTACTTACCGGCCATGGCATCGCACTGTATTACATAATTAGCCATCTCATCGATGGAGTCCACGTCCAACACGACGAGCGGGAACGGCGGACTGGTAGGGGTACGCCTCACACCAGAGCATTCGTGGCTCACAGGTGCGAAGGAGACAGGGATCCCCGAGGCTAGCCGCTACGCATGTTTTCGGACCTTCTGCATGCGTTGCTTGTAAGTAACCTGTACGCTGGCCTCTTCTGCCGGGCCTGTGGGTCTGATCATTGATGGTTGTGCATGTTCAAAGAAAATAAACAGATTTTACCTAGCAGCGACCGTGACACTGACCCGAATTCCATGTACAGGTCGAGTGGGCTGACACTCGACAAATGAACGATGTCGATGAACGATTTTCATTGGCAAAGGTTTCTGTAACGAGTTTCTAAGCACAAGATACCGCCGGCGAGTTGCGCCCAACGTCATGGCTGTGCTGTTGCTCGTTTCTCCACTCCTTCGGTCCTTTGGAGAAACGCGGATTCAATCCAGCTTGACAGCCAATCCGGTCCAACGGTTATCACAATAATATATATGAACAATCCCTGCATTCTATCACTGATCTTCATCCTTATGCGTTCAGCATGCGGAAGGGCATATATAATTCCTGTCAGTATGGGGAGCGTATTAGCCCACCCGTACTGCTCCCTTCATCACCATGACCTCAATCTATTCCACTGAGGTGTGCTTTCAAAACTTAGGATTTCTTGGTGTATCATTAAACTACACTTACCTCTCAAGTTATGTCACTACTGACCAAAGAACACTTGTCGAAGAACAGCCCCTCCCAGAGGCCCTTCGTTACATGTCCCTCTTGACGAGGGTACTCTGCTTTTTGGCACTTGGACGCCCAGATCTTGAAGATCATCGGAAGTCCCTCCAATCACAGCAAGCGTTCGAAACCGTTAGGAGCAGGTCATGCTCTTTCCTGGCCAGCACTATCACTACTGAGTAAATTATCTGACTCCGCGCGAGCTGAATCCGGCGCTGACATACTTTCAAAAAGGCAGGCGTGCTCCTCGCTATAAGTGGTATTTTCGTCACTACTGGCTCTCCTGTGCCATATTTTGACTATACATCACCCGTTCCTCATTGTCTGCTCTTTATATCGCTCATGCTCGCCATGATCGCACTGTTGATATCCGACTGGCCTAAGTATGATCAGCAATTTAAGCCAGGCAGCTACTTCGTGTTGTCCTACCTGTTGTCAATAGTCACCCCCATATTCTTTGTCGCTTGGTCCCTACATTGTTTCATATTTGGTGAGTTGTTCCATCATTCGAGGCTCTCTCTGATCCCTCATGCATATCACCCCCAGCGATGTTGATAGCCTCTCAAAGCATGATCTGCCATGTCGTCACTGCGCTCTGGATGGTCACATACATTGAGACAATATTGATGGAAACTGCGTGGAAGTATGCGACAAGCCTCAACCACGCTAGATGTCGCCAGTAGTGTGACGCTCATGTAGAGTACGACCAATATATCAAAAATCACAATGCATTCATACATGGTTGTACATTCCCGTCACCTTTCCCAAGACGACGTAAAGGTTGGATCTTCAATATTTTAAAAGCGATATATGAAAATTGCTCGTTCTTAAGTCGACGTCCCCGTCGTAACTTCATACAGACCATCCCCAGGGCGCCATCCGAGCACCTCACTCCAGAACTCCAAGATTGGCTGCCATTCCTCCCTTAGGCTTGCGCGTGGCATACCCTCACCCGCACGCTCTACATCCTTTACTCGAGAGAAACCCTTCCTGAATGAATTTAGTGCCCCGTTCTTGAGCTCACGTGGGCGGCGAAAAACAAGAACAGGTGTCTCGCATAATTTCGAGAGCGTTGGGTATGAGAGCAGCGGGCCAGAAATGGTGACGAGCGAACCTAAGGGCCGCACGGGGGTCTCGTTGCTAGTCATGCGCGACTGTGATGAAAGTTCTAGCTCGCGACGCCACCACTGCAGACATGCTTCGGCTGCAACGCTTCCACCTTGTGCAAATCCGAACAAGTGGATGCGATGTGGAGGCCACCCACATTCACCCGTCAAATGGCCCAAGACATTCTTCAGAAGATTGAGTGCGGGACTGGGGTCTGGCCGTTCGATGAGGTCACCGAGTTGATCGAAGGAAGGATACCACTGAAAAGCCTGTTCGTACAGAAAGGGGACACTAATACATTGTTGAGCTCGATATACATACAACCAGGATGGCCGAATAGACACGTACAGATCGGGTGCGCGGAGCGCGAGGGTGGCTGTTTGAGGGAGCTTGAGTGATCTCCCAATGCGCGTGAAAGGGACATTGGTATCACCTATTTACCGATGACTTCGTTCGGATTAGTTGCTCTAGCTAAGTGGTATGACACCGCGCTCACCGAGCCCGTGCAGAAGAATAAGGAGATTCTCGTCTGTTCCGTCGTCACTAGGGGAGTAGGAGAATTGTGTGTGGATGGAAGAGGCTTGTGGAGCGGGTTTCACACGCGGAGAAGGGACGGATGCCTCTGCGAGGACGTGGATGTCTGGGGAATCCATTCAAGAAGAGTTTCCTTGAGCCTCTGGCCGCCTGGTTGCTGTCATGTCTTATTAATATCTGTGAATATTTTATTTGGCCATGTACCACGTTAAGTCCTTCGGCTCAACTACGAACTATAGAAGCCAAGCTCGTAAATCATCTATCTTATCTGCTCATGAGACGTGCTAATCTAGCTGGCTCTGCAGACTAGTGCCAGATTGACTCCGGCCTATCAGAGGAAAACAAGTTCCTTGTTATGCTGCAGGAACCTACATAATCAATTTGGCTACAGTGTAGTCAGGTCCACGACACTGCTACCGGTTTTTGTGGTTCTTCCCAGTTGAATTTGAATGGACCACTTGGCGGCGAGCACTTGTCAGGTACAGGTGCAGATGCAGGTGCAGAGTGCAGGTGCAGGTGCAGGCTACAGGTGACGAAGTTCTGGGGTAGTGCTGCCTTAACATTTTCTCGTGGAGTTTGGTCAGGATGTCAGCCCCATGCGGAAGGTTAGCGCCAGCGATCCTTTGAATAAGTGTCGGAAAGTCTTTCATGATAGTGGGAGTAACAATGTTCTGGAATAAAATCTCGACTTCCATCTCAAGAATGGCAGGAAACCTTCCGAAGACATGTTAACACCCCCATGGTAGCACAGATATATGAACAATCAACTAACTTGGATGTTAAAGACGAAGAGAGTTCCTGTAGGATGTTGTGCTCAGTTAGACTAGAGCGTATCGCAGCAAGCGCTTTGGCCTGCAATTTGTCGTGTTTTATCTGGTACGGTCCCAGTATGAGTTCACGTGGATTATCAATAGTTACATGAGACACACCTTGCATGCCAGCCGGTACATAGACTTTGGTGAGCATGGTGGGGCCTCACCGGGGCTGCGACGTTTTACTGACTTGCTGGCTTGTGATCGCAAAGGTGCAAAAACGATCTCGTCAGTGTACAGATAGTCTAATAAAGCCCGCCAGCTATGCAAAGTCAATGAGCAACAGAATCTAGCGCTAGGCTGGTAAACCGCACGTATTGAATGCAGTGTCTGTTACTAAGACTCTGCGGCTTGGAATGATACGTTGCGTCCCATTGGTAGCAAAGCTCTTAGTCGATACCGTTCGAGATACTCGTTCCGCAGAGACTTCCGCACACTTCTCATCTTCAACAGGTCAACCTAAGTGTGCCAAGATGGGTGGAACCACTTACTGTCTTGTACAGTTTCGTCGGTCTCCTCCTCTTCTTCATCAAGGTCACTATCGGACGCATAGCCATACTCATCGAGAGAGATCCCTCCTTCACAAGGGTGATAGTCTTGAAATTCGACCACAGCAGAATCATTCGACGTCTTTTCGGAAAGTACTGAAAGTGTCTGCTGAACTTGACTGAGTGGTAACAGAATTGCGAAATGGCTCACAGCTATTGAAATACTCTGAACCCGCGGTGAGGGCTTCGTCATTGGCAAACAATGCTTGAAGGTTGATAACGTTGCCCTCACGCTTCGATCGAACGGAGAAGAGGTAAAATTGGGTGTCAAGAAGTTCCCCAGTAAGCGACTTCCTCAGCAGAGCATTAATCCGCGCCTGGTTGCTCGACATTGCAGAGCTGCTAACAGGCACACAGCGAGAACAGAAATGGTCGATTGAGATGGAGATAGAATTTTCGAAAGACTTCGATAATATCGAGGATACCGTATTTATATGTCAAGCCTAATACTTAGGGTCAAAAACAGGTGTCCGAATGACGGTCGGATTGAGACGATACGCGTCGTGTTATATGCAACACGAAGGTCAAAGGGGAAGGACTGAGAAACGAATGGAATGTACATAGGAGGACAAAGGATGGAGTTTAAGCAATCGGACGCACAGATAAGGACTAGAAGTAGTGCTCGTGTTCAGCACGAGGTGAAACTGTGAGATAGTGAGATAGTGGCGGGCGTAAAGTTAAGAATCAGGAAAGGATGTATCCAGATTCTGATGTCATAGTCATAGTAGTAGTACAGACATACGACCTCGCAAGTCGACCTATGCACGCAGCACTTTGGTTAATTCGTGAGATGAAAATCTAAAAACATATGTCGGGAAGTGGGGAGGAGCAGGTTTGACGTAACAACGAAAACGTGATTTTCGTGTAGAGTTGACCTCAGGGGTCTATGTGTGTCGAATTCCCTGTTGTAAGAGCATATTAAAACATGCTATGCTTGGTTTTCCGCCCCCGGGGAAGTACTAGTTGGTTTAACATTTTTTCATGGAGTTTGGTCAAGATTTCAGCCCCATGAGGAAACCCGGTACTGCCAGCGCCGACGATCCTTTGAATGAGTATCGGAAAGTCTTTTGTGACCGTGGGAGTAGCAATATGCTGGAACAAAATATCGACTTCCACCTCAAGAATGGCAGGAAACCTTCAGAAAACAAGTGGGCATGCCAATGGTGGAAAAAGGCATGACAAACTAACCTGGATGTCAGAGACGAAGAGAGTTCCTGTAGGACATTGTGTTCAGTCAGACTAGATCGTATCGCAGCAAGCGCTTTGGTCTGCAATCCAACATGCTTTATCTGGTACAATGCCAAGTATCAGTTCACATGAATAGTATCAAATGTCACACGTTACGTACTTTACATGCCAGGCGATACATGGACTTTGGCGAGCATGGTGGAGGCTCCTTAAGGCTTGAATGTTTCGTCGGACTTGCTTGTGATCGCAAAGGTGCGAAAATGATCTCATTGGTATACAGATAGTATAACAAAGCCTGCCACCTATGTCAAGTTAATAAACAAACGACCCGGGCGCTAGGTTTGTAAAGCCCACGTCTTGAATGCAGTATCCATTACCAATACTCTGCGGCTCGAAATAGTGTCATGTTGCACCTCTTGGGTGTTGAAATCCTTGATCGATGGAGTTTGAGGTATTTGTTCCGCAGAGACTTTCACGCGAAGTTCAGACTTTTCATCTTCAAAAAGATCGATATAAGGTGATCCCTTTCCAGTATAGGTGAATTCACCTACTGTCTTGTACGAATCCGTTGGTTTCCTCCTTCCCTTCTTCTTCGTCGAGGTCACTATCAGACGCATAGTCATATTCATCGAGGGAAACCCCTCCTTGACGATGGTGATCTTGGAATTCGACCAAGTTGGGATCATTTGGCGATTCTTCGGAAAGTACTGAAATTGTCTGTTGGATTTTACAGAGCGGTAACAGAGATATAAAATGGCTCACGGCCACTAAAATACTCTGAACTCGCGACAAGGACTTCGTCGTCGGCAAACAGTGGTTGAAGTTTGGTAATATTGCCCTCACGCTTTGAACGAGTGGAAAACAGGTAAAATTGGGTGTTAAGATGTTCCCCAATAAGCGATTTCCTCAACACAGCATTCATCTGCGCCTGGTTGCTCGACATTGGGTAAGTGTATGATAGTGTACGCTGGGAAAGGCTGAGAGAAGAAGGGTGATGATTTCCCAGTATCCTGCGCAACGAGAAGCACCTGGTTGAATCGGCTTTAGAAGCCCTCGCAGATCATTAATCATTGGTCAAACCACACACGCAGCATGCTGTCCAATCGATGAGATGAAGATCTTGAAACGCGAGTCGGGAAACAGGAAGAATCCGGCTAAACATGGCAATTGAAATATTGAAGTGTAAACCGCATGCAAGAATAATCTGGTCTTATCTATTAACCATGTAAAAGCACCGCAATCAGCGTAAAATCACAAACAAGAACTCACCGGCCCACTGATGTTCAGGCTATCAAGGTAGCGGTCAGAGCCAGAGGGATTCCGAATCGGGACCAAAAATAACGTTGTTATAACCGTACTGCGTGAGGTTGGCTGAGGACTGGGTGGATATCCACAATTGAGCGCTCGAGCACTCACATGAGCTCATGCACACCTAAGTTTGACCGTCATGTGCAACGAATGTGCAAGGCCAAAACAACCACTATCCGTAAAAGGTTACTCTCTCCCAACATCACGAGTCCACGAAGATGATAAATGACCAACCTAGACCTCTTAGAAAAAACCCTGACGATCCTTAACTGCACGAGACTAACAAGTCCTAGGACCCTACCATGGCACCTCGTGATATAGCTGTTATCATTGCAGATTGCCATAGGCGCCCTTTGCATCACGCACGATCATGTGTTGATCCGAACGCATATGGTCGTTAACTATACTTATATCCTTTCAATGATATAAGTACAAGTGATTTATCCCCACAATCGGCAGAACCACGCTCGCAATCGAGATGGCCACACCTGTCGACTATGGTGATTTGGAGTTCACTAGACCCGCCAAGCAGATCAAGGCCGTAAACTTGCCGGCGGTGCCGCAGCGCATTTTTGATGGTATGAAGCAGTATGAAGATGCTGCTCGAGGTATGTGGCGGTTATATTCTTGGAAGCGCAATGTGATATATCTGGTTTGCAAGGTTTTGCTACCTCGGGTTTTGAGCGGGCAGCCAAGGATGCCAATGGCAAAGAAGTTCCAGGCGGCATCATCGTTGCGCACCGTCCTGCAGACGCCCAAGTCACTCAGCTGTATCGCATGCCAACAGATCCTTCCAGCACCGAGCTGAGCCGGCTCACCTACTTTGACATTGGTTCCGGCAGGACAATATCAACGTTCTGCGGAATTCTTGAGGATGACTGGCGGGGTGTGCGCAGACGTGGAGGAGCTATCATGGTTATGGATCTCAATGGAAATGAACATTTTCAGCTATGGCACGTACCACGTACAACCCAAGATCCTGTCTGACCAAAATCTTAGGCGTTACTGGGAGGATTCTCTTGCTGACCAAGTTCTTCCGAAAGTACAAGGAGAATTGGATAATGCGCCTGGCCTGGGACGCATCGAGAGACTGACCCATGACGACTATAGATACGGCTCAATTGTAGTGTCTCAGACAAATAAGTATGTCTATTTTCGTTCGTTCTGTTCGTATCTGATTGAATCTCGCGGGACAGTCTTATGGCCTTTGCGTCGAACAAAGAGAACAACAAGGATACCCTAGTGTATGTTACTAGGCTCATAGGCTCCAATACGGGCGCAAAGGCAGACGCCTCTCCCTTCACTCTGTCCTCACGTTTAGTCGCGCCAAGCACTGGGGAAGGGACGACCATGTACAGCCCGCAGAGCTTTTCCCTTGACGACAAGTATCTGTTGATCATAAGACGATATGGCTCGAGTTACAATGCTCTATATGTTGTCGACATCTCTGGAGAACAGGCGTTACCTCCCAAGCTAATCAAGTTCCCAGGAGCGACGGAGAAAGCAGAAGATACCGCGTTCGACAATGCTGTATTTTCCCACAACGTTAATCAACCCCACTTGATCTACTGCACCACGAATGGTTACGGTGATTTTACCTCAATCGTCACTTACGACCTTGACACGGCATTGGTCACCCACATCACCACTTCCGGTGCCGCAATTCAAGCCATACGACCAATTTTGTGGGAAATTCAGGACCTCAAGGTCACTAGTGACATCATCGTATTTACTGTCAATGTCGAGGGATGGACCTCCCTCTTTTTCATGCCTTTATCTGGGTTTCACAAGAACACGGTGATCGAGGTCAAGGTTACCTGGGAAAGGGGTTGGCTCACCTTCCAAATGAATGACCTCAATGACAAGCCGTACGAATTAACGCTGCATCTCACATCATACCACTCTAGAGGGCGAATTACCTACTTGGATCTTCTTCCATTGTTGAACAATGTCAAGACAGATGAAAATGGAAACGCCTACGTGCTCGCTTCTGTCTTACCATATGCACAGGCAGCCCCACCTGTGGTAGCACATGAAGTTCCGCCCACTCTCATCAGATACAAGAGCTTCGATGGCTTGGAAGTCCCTGCCATATATTACCGCCCGGCTGGTCAATCAGTGACTCCAGTTATTATTCACATTCATGGTGGCCCGGAATCTCAAGCTACCGCCCAATACCGCACGTTAGTCATGTTTTTTCCTCGGCGTAAGCTGTAGGCTGATAGACTTCCGCAGGCCTACGCATAGTTACCTATTGAACGAGCTGAAAGTTGCGGTTATCTACCCCAATGTGCGCGGAAGTTCGGGATATGGCAAGAAGTACATGGCTGCGGATGATGTATTGAAACGCGAAGATTCTGTCAAGTACGGTATATCTACACCTTCTCGGGGACAGATAACCCATATTTCCTCAGGGACATTGGAGCGTTGCTCGATTACATTGCATCCAACATGCAGAATGAATTGGATTCATCTCGCATTGCTGTAGCAGGCGGGTCCTGTGAGTAGCCTTCTGTTGATCTCTACCAAAAAATTGACCCTCACCATTCGAAGATGGTGGATATATGTCCTTGGTGCGATATCTATCTTCTCAATAGACACCTCGTTCTCACGTCCAGGCACTGCATATAGGCGACTCTGACACATTATTCCTCAAAGCTCGCCTGCGGCATCGAAAACTTTGGAATTGGGCACTGGCCTTCATTCCTGGAGAATACTGCGGCTGTCCGGCGAGCAGCACGCAGACGTGAGTATGGCGACGAGACCATCCCAGAAATCAGAGAGTTCCTGGACAGGATCTCGCCGATTAATAACGCCTCGAAGATCACGGTACCCCTCCTGATCACCCATGGTGAGAACGATAGTCGGGTGACTGTGCACGAAGCTGTTAGCATGTACCAAGTTGTATCGAAGAATGTGCATACCGAGCTCGTCATTTGCGAAATGGAGGGCCATGGTATGTCTTTTCATATATGTCGTGTGATGGTGCTGATAGGTGATGTCTTTCGTAGGATACAAACAGAAGAGCGTGATCGAGTTCACTAATGCCGCTGACATCTTATTCTTGGAAAGATACCTCCTTTCTAAGTCAGATCTGTAGATTTCGCCACGCTCGAATACTTGTATGTTATTTTTTCTAACACACCAATAAGGTACCATTAGTCGTACGAGCAGAACCTCAGAGTGACTTTGAGACGACGGGACTGATACGGAACGAAGCAATGCCTTTACGGATTCGACCATGCTTGTGACCAAAATATTGGGCCATGTTTGCGCCGATTAATTGCGACCGTGAATACTGAGGAAGCAGGCGAGTTTCATGATACCCCTGAGAGTACTCGGGGCAGACCCTTCCAGCGACAAAACGTGATACAAGCTGCTAGTGGAAGGGGAGAAAGCTCAGAAGTACTTTTGAAACTCCTCCGACTCGTGCTGATTTTTTGGTCAATGGAATGGTTCGAACGGTAACTTACTTATTCCCGTAGATGGCATTGAGCCATCAGCGAACTGCAATACACAGTATCCGTGAGGCGTACTCGTTCAGAATAATGCGTCATGGGAACCCATGATATTGAGGTATTGCTCGAATGAAGTGATAACCAAAAGTGACGAACGGCCCAGCATTCACTATTCCTGCTTACCGTAGTGTCGTTGTGACCATGAATTTTGAAGAAGAATAGTGATACAATGCCGCATAAAATCATCCAGCCTGCACTACTATCACTAGAGATGAAGAGTGCAAGTGAAGTATCTAATTTTTCCGGCGGAATGAGCAACCTGCGAAAGGTTAATGCATTACAAAATATCGTAATTAGATAACATACCCTCGATCAGTCTTGCCTTACCACCCGTAGGTTGGCATAGGACACTTGCACACGAGCCACAAAGAACTACTGATTGTGCATGAGAGAATACAGTGGTGATAGCAAAGCATCCTGAAACAAATAACCGGGTGAGGTTAGTGGTGTCGGGTCTGGCACGACGAGACGCACCTGGGCATTTTACGTCCATGAAATAAGAGTTAGGAGATTGCACGAGACGCTTGAGCTTGTGCTGCTTGCGTTCATGTTCTGCAGAGGGGTTTAATAGATCGACGGCAAGAGTCTGAACAAAATTCTGTGAGGATGTCGGACAAGTAGAACGGACACGCAGCATACCATTTTGACGAGCTTTTGGTGTTTTCGTTGTCAAAGTTATTGAATATCTCAGGCGATACGCTGATTGAAAACTTGATGATATGCCTGGTAGGGACTTAAGGTTTGAGCGGAGATTGAATAAGCTTTCGGAATTACCCGCACTATGTCGCGTCGACACCATTAAGCTTGTTCCTGTACCCAAATTTAAAGAACATCAGTGCTTGAATGTTTCTGACGAGGACCAGAGAAATGAAGCGATATAAACAATAATATAACACTCAGGCTGTCATTGGGATATCAAGACGCTTGTGCAACTTTTTGTGTCATCGTAAGTCACTCACACATGCATGCAGTCTTTTTGTTCTCGCTTCGTGACCGTTTACGGAGGATACTCTGCTGGTAGCGTGGCTTTTCATTTGTTTCATTAAGGCCTGAAACGCATATAAAGGTCAGCGGACCAGTTGACTCCCAGACTATCCTTCCGGGTTTTGACAGCCCAACCGTTTTCCTCACAGCTAGGTTCGTTATCTCTGTTGACTTCCCTCTCTTCTCCTACTAACCTGCTTTGTGTCCCCTTCTTCATATAGTCTGTTAAGTGAGCCAGCTTTCCTCCCTTCTGAGGGTCTCGTTTGACATTCATATCAATTCAGACGCTTCGGTCTTCTGCTCAGATTCAATCTCCTCGTCTTAATCAAAACTCAGGACTGCCGAGACTATATCTTATACTCACGTATCCTTTCAGCGCGTTTCATCTATCGTCGCAGGTCGATTTCGGTTATTACCACCTAGTCTATCTTTCCAATCACTTTCTCGTCGTTGACTGTCATTATGACTGCTACATCCAGCCTTTCCATCACTCTTACTCAGGCTATCGCTTATCTCACTCGACCTCTTACCGTTACGCACCCTGTTGCGACCATCAACAAGCTTCAGTCTGTGCTTGAGGCGAACTTAATTGCACTGTTTGCCCCGACATGGACCCCCAAAGAACCACTTCGTGGTTCCGGCCAGCGTTGCCTCACTCTCTCCCCCAATCGCCTTCCTCCACGTGCCATATATACCGCGTGCCTTGCATCCAGTGTCCATTGGTTCGACTGGATTGCAGCCTTAGGTGGACGCGAGTTCGACTTCTATGTCGATCCAGGATGCATCTCTGTGCAGTTCGGGAGGGGTACCAAGCTCATTACGATCTGGGCGGAGGAGCCGATAGCTAAGGCTGTGTCCGTCACGCACCATACGCTTTTTAGCCAGCTGGCACCCAACAACTCAAGATCTAAGACACTTGCCCAGCAGCTCTGGGAAAATGACCGCACAGAGGATGAAGAACTTTTCGCCCTGATCGCTGACTGAAATCAATGCACCCACTTGGATGACCCCTGTCGTTAACCATTTCTCTGCTCCTGCACGTTCTGAATCGCCTCTCTCTGCCATATCTACCGATTCGTGCTCCAGCTATTGCTCGTCTGACTTATGCTCCTGCTTCTCTGCCACGACTGCCTCTACCTTGTCGTCTAAGAAGAGCAACAAGCAGTCGTCCCAACTTACCCGCCGCGAGAAGGCAAAGCAGGCTCGTGTCTTTGTAGACACCTCCAAGACTGAAGTTACCCCCTACGACGGTGGCAAGACCACTGTCCTGACAGGCGGTGTGATGCTGGGAGCTGCACCTCCCAAGGGCAAGAGTGGTCCATCTACTTGGCGCCGCACATAACCGGCTATGCTTCCTTGATCACCCATTGCCGATGAACTTCCCCACGGGCCACAGGATCACACTATACGTTTTCTATACTCCCATTCACGCCCCGCACACCCAACGAAAGGCAGTTCGGACAATCTTCACTACCAACTACCATACCATACCATTTAACGTCTACTATAGCATCTGTACTGCACTTATTACTTTGTCTTCGTAACCCTGGTTCGGACCCAGGTGTAGCACTTTCATTCGCTATCGATTTGCTGTGTTGGCTCACTATTGACGGTCTTCGATAAGTCCGGGCTTTGGAGGTATGTCATGCATACCCGATAACTTGTAATACGCAAGCGGCTTTTCCCCCCTCGGTTGAGTCTGCGTACGATGCCAGGGATAGAGGTGCATTAGCGTTATGTAATCCGGAATCACAGAGGCTTCTCCGACATTTTTAGCGTGCTGGACTTCGTTTCCGACTCACAAAGTGGTTATACCAACTGCAAATCATCCTTATGCCAAATGGCGAGACCTCACGAAGAACTCTACGAGTTGTGCGATTACCTACGCTCTGTTAGCGTTGGGCTGGACTCATATGAGCCTGAATCCCAAGACTTGCCAATCATCGACTCATCAGGAGAAGAAATGGGTGAAATGGGTGTAGTAAAGACTCAGAACCGAGAAGTATTACCCGGGTTGCGGTTTCTGCGAGAGGAGGTGAAACGAGACCTGCAAGTTCTCCAAAAGGCGTGTCCAGTCCACTGTAGGGATGTTTTCATTCATTCAATGATTCTAATCGATGTGTAGTAGTTTCTCGATGACCCAGAATCGACTTCTCTTCTTCCTCTCTCGACCAATGCACCATATCCCGTTGCAGTGTGGCAGGAACTGCTTCAGGCTCGCGGAGCTGTTGCTATATACCGGACATTCCACACCGTCACTCATCCTCAGGCCTCCCGTAAGCCCAAGAATGGCTCAGCCAAAGAGCATGGCGTCAAGGTGGATGTGGTCGCTGACAACGGGAGACGTTGGATCAGAGTCAATACGTAAGTTTATCCAACATTTCACCTAGAATAACTCTGGACGAATTTCCAGGATAAAGAACAGTCGCATTTTAATGGAATTTTGCGAAATGGACTCGTATCTTACCAGCTCTGACGAGGACGATGGCGACGGGCACTCTTCCCTGAAGAACGAAAAATTGATATCCCAAGAGTTTGACAATTCTGTGCTGCGCATGAGCCGTGAACTTCTGGAGGCTGCAAAGGCAAACCCTTGTAGTTCCAACGAAATTCCTTCGGTTACCATGCGTCTAACCCGACTGGATCCTTCCCTCTCAGATACCGACCATGAAACGAGTGATCCTAGAATCGCGTACACGATCGACTGTCTCCAGAGAATGGGCATAGATGTCCAATTAGGCGAAAGGCAGGGCATCGTAAAGGAGATGGACAACACTTCCGCGCAGCCAATAGTTTTCGAGCCCACCACTCATATCAACCTCGATCTCTCGGCATTGATAGCGCTCATCTCTGATACCACTCACTCTCATTTGCCTCGTGATCCAGAAGATGCGAACACACGATTTATCCCGCCGCAACGATACGTGGAATGGAAAAAGCAGCGAGTACGAATGCTTTCTGACTCTCCAGATGCTCCAAGCACATGGGAGGACTCTGGAATTCACTCAAAAGTGTTGGCAGATCAAGCCCAACAAGAGATGAAGAAGGGTCTTTTGCAAGATATGCACGATCGCTTGAGATCCACCTCCCCTGATTTGCAAAACATCCAATTTTGGACGACACAAGAGGCTCGCCAACGTTGTCTCCAGATCGTGTTCAAGATCGCGGGCACGAAAGAACGTCAGCGTGCCGAAGCACTGCTCTCTTGTTCCATATATTCTCAAACGACTACCATACCCACTCATAATCAATTCTGGGTGCATTCACGATACCCGTCTAATTTTATTCCACTAGTACCTATCAGGTTGTACCCATCTTCAGAGCCTGACGCCACTTCTCTCAAGTCCTTTCAGCCAAATCCTTCATCACTTTTCATGACGTCCCTTACCTCGACCTGTCGGAATATACTATCTCAAGAAGACATTTCGAGACATCGGGAATCACAAAGTCCACCTGGCCACTCAGCTGCGCCTTACCTAAGTAACGACGAGGGTGATATCCCACCACCGGCAGTTGCTTTGGCAAACCCGAAGCTCACGGTCCACACGGTCCAAAGCATACTTTGGGGAGCAGCACTTGGATGGACGACATTGACCACAAATAGATCCAGTGTGAAAATGCTCCTCAAAGAGATGAAACGATCCACTGGAGGTGGAGCGTTGACCTACGAGCCCTCCAATGGAAATGAGACCGCTCGCACGTCCAAAGCCGCAATTTGGATAGTCAAACCACGGAGCTTAGCTGAAGGATCACGATCAGATTGTTGTAGCGAGTGATATCAGTGGGAAAACGGTTTAGCACTGGTTTCTATGAATAATGACACCGTCCTCGATGGAAACCGATTGGAAGCAAAACTAAAACTACATGTATGAGCATAGCAAATTTAGAGATCCAAAGTAAGTAGCTGAAAGTTGGAAGGTCAGAATATAGCAAGATGACCGTCAGATAATGGTAGGAAATAAGTCCTAGTAAAGTCACAACTGAAATATTCTCATGCAAAGGGCCGAGCCGTCACTGGCGTCCCAGGTCGTGCTGTAACCGGTGTAGTAGGCCGCGAGAACTCGGAAGCAGCTGTTTCAAAGGATGTCACTGAACTTGAGCGCGAGTCACCCGATGGTACCGGTGAGTGTGATGACGATGACAATTGGAATTTTGTCTCAACTCCGGATGGGGAAGATGGAGGTGATCCGGATATGATAGAACGTGAGGTTGTTTGTCCAGCCTCATCCGCAGCAGCACTGTTATGGACAGAACTTCCTGTTGTCTCGCTCTCCAGTGCGCTGGTACTAGCCGGGTTGTCAAGGTCAGCTGATGGTGGTCCACTTGCTTGGCCTGGCGAACTTGCTACAGTGGTGTCGAAGTCGGGTGGTGGTGCCATATTAGACCTTGATGCTGAAAATGCTACAGCGTCTGGACCATATGGAACACCGAATCTTTCCAGTGCATTCCTGGAGGTGATGAGTTTTATCTGCTCAGGCGTCATGCCACCTTTCGGCACCCGGAACTCCGAGCGTATCACAGTATGTGTGAGAGGTGCCGATATTGAGTTCAAAGAGATGGTTGACGGGGATGTCATAGGCACGGAATGGTCGTGGGGTCGGAAAGTCTTCAAAAGCGTCGAATGAGAGCCTGAACGATTGCGTCCATGTCCACTATTTGTTGATGCCACGGAGAGGGATGAAACGTTACGAGCGTGGTCAGGAGTGGCAACCCTGTTATAGACCGAAATGGGCGGATGTCGTGATGAACCCCCGAAGGGGTTGAAAAGGAAGCTGAATCTAGAGCGCCGGTCAGGGGCAACATCATCGACGACGATGGAAGTCTCCGATGCAGTAGGCTCATTAGGTAATGTGCGAGGAGTGTCGTGGCCGACAACCTCAAAGTACGGAGGCGCTTCTCCTCGTGGGTCTTCGGACGTTTGTGTAGTGTGCAATGGTAACAATTCAGAATGACTTTCTTGCGACTGATGCGACGTGTCCACGCTAGCGACGTCTACACTTCGTCTCGTTGTTACGTCACCAGAAACGTTATATATGAGATTTGTAGCAGAGTTATCCGGCTGTGTGGTACCGTGCGACTCGAGGTCAAGGCTACGATGTGCCCCTCTTGTTTCAGGGTGCTCGTCGTCTTCTTCCGGTATTTGCATAGGATCGTGGTCCTCCTCCTCCATCTTCAAGGGTCCTCTGTGATATCCGTGTCAAAAGAATCTGGGTGCGACAGGTACGTAAGTATACACACCTGTAGATGACAAGCTCCTGGTCGCCTGGTTCCAGCATGTAGGGTGGAAGCGATTTTGTAGAAATCTGACTTGGAGTCCGTGCGGGCCTCCGGCGCCTTCCAGGGCGAGCCTGACCAGCAGGTTGGTTCCGAGTGCTCGCCGCTGCGCCTGCGCTAACTTCTACCTGCGTAGCCCGCCTGACGCATCCAATCAGTGTCAGCACGGCAACGACGACTGAGACTATCAGCACGGGTATCTAGATGATTGATTCTCTGGTTTAAGCATGGCTTTGGCGTTGGGGCTCAACGATGAATAGTACGCACCCATACGCTTGTAGAAACGCCGTTCCCGTTACTTCCTCCTCCATTATTGCCATCGCGTCGCAGTACTTCGTTTGTTGGTCTTGCACATACAAATTGGGGGTATCGCACGACCAAAAGAGCCAGCCAGAGGAACGTGCGGATACAGGGGAGAGTTCGAACAGATGAGGACATACCGCGGTCAAAGAGGTTACTCATCATGGTGTCGTGAAGAAGTCGTTAAATTATGAATAGCATGCAGTACGCAGCGCTTCTGAATCGTGCTGCTGGTGGACGGTGCTGTTGAAGCGAGGAAGATTTATTTAATGATAATGAAATGATAGCAGTAAGAAGCAGATTCCATTATTACTAAAACTTTGCACTATATCCACGCCGAGGCTGTACAAGCGCCCGTGCGGGGTCCAATAAATGGTCTCCAATGATCCTACCGACGGTCACACCGCCTAGTTGATGGTTATGCTCACTTCATACCTTAAAAAAAACCTGTCTCAAGGGTTGCTTACAGAGTGGACAGGATCTCCCTCCCACCGGCAACCATTAGATGCCATAAAGTACGTTAATTAAGATCGACTCGGACTGTTCGGTCGTCTCGGTCATGGTAAGCGCACTGGTCGAACGACGAGTCCGCCTAATGTTCATGATCATATCAAACGACTATCTTCCTTCGTCAATAATTTCTTTATCATAACCGTTTTATTGAAGTGCGCCATCCTGAGACTCGACTTTGAGATCCTTAGCCACAATTGTTTCGCAACAATTTGGAGCCTTTGAATGGAGCATAAGACGGGATTGTGAGGTTAGGCCAATTGTCTCTCTTTCTCCGCTGTTTCGGGCTGATGGTCTTCTTCTCTGTGCGGTGCAAAACGCTGCCCTGAGTTATCAGGGCCATCCACATGGCCTATTGGTCCGTGACCGCAGTAATATCGTCCGATACTCGGTGTGATGCCAAAAGAGTGAGGTGAAATTTCCTACCAATTACTCTCATTCCCGCACGACTCATTTACGGTTTCCTCGAGTTAGCATAGCAGGGGCGTCTGAGGTATTTGCAAGCACCAAATGCTATGGGTGCGATCGAGAATGGGGCATGTGTTAACAGGGTAGGCGTCATAGCATCGATCAATCATGATGCAGTGCCTAGTGGCAGACACGGTTACACGCTGTTGTATGCATTTCAGCAGGGCCCAAAATATGAACCCGTCGGCTGAAAGTGAAATTTAACCTGATCACTCACCCGTAGATGTATGGCGGACACAAGTCGATTCTGATACAAAAACGTGACAATCAGTACTTATGGTACGGTTGAGGCTGTCGTGGGACCCACCTTGGTGTATACGCGTCGCGTCATGGCTTAAGTAACTCGGCTTGAAATGCATAGCTATTAGCATACAGTGCTTGGAAGTGGTCGAGTGATACCAACCACGCAACCAGGAACACATGCCGAAGGCTATGATACCACAAGCGCCGCAAAGACTCGCCCTTATCATTCTAGAACACTATTTAACGCTCACAAGAGAAATCGAAACATAACAACTTGAAGAATGTCACTTGACTGATTGTTGCAGGCGTTTCAAGTTTTGTTTCCTGTGTTGGTCAACACGCTAGCTATTCCGAAGATAGAATGAAGAGTAAAAAGGGATTAAGGCTTTTGAAGAATCGGGAGAAACTGTCTACGTTTTCGATTCGCTTTGTACATGGGAAGGTCTGGCAATGCCACATCAGCGCAGACAAGGGGACGCGTCTGGGGATCAATAAACACAAACCTTCGGCAGAAAAGAAGCGCGAATACAGACCGAAACGCGAAAGAGTGGAGATGAGAAGTGGGTGGGGTGGATAAAAATTGGCAAGCGACGCGTAAATGAGGATGGGCGCAAGGAAGCTGAAAGATTCAAAGAAAACGCTCAGTCGATCGCGAGTCACGACTTTTTGAATGCCGCAGGCCCAGACATGCGTTTTAATAGCAGAGAAGCACACACGAGGAGGATCTCAGAACCCGTGTGACTGCTCAGGAGGGCTATGTTTCGCGCGTCATGCGTCTACGCTCGCGATCCACTGAGCACTCGGAAAGGCCATCTCTTTAGTGGCCATTGGGTACACTGACCCGTTGTGTTTGCATTTTCCCTCATCCTCGACTATGATGACGGCCTTTCTTTCACCTCCCCTCACTCCCAGCCGCCCCCGTCCCCCTCGAAGAATTTGATGACATACCCGTAGATGCACTCCGAACACAATGCGGCAAAATAATGACGTAAAAGGCGTGGTCCGAGTGAGGCCATGATATAGAACGAATGACTGTCCTCCTTCTCTTTTGGTCTGACTAGGGGAGACTAGACTGAGGCTGTCGTTGGACTATCGAGCCAAATCCGTGCGACCTCAGATGAGTGCGAACGCGTATCGAGATCTATTCGGCCTGAAATAGCATGCAGTGCACAGCTGCGCTATTTGTGCCTGACCCTGCTGGAACAAGGAAGTGGCGGTTAAGCGATACCCACGCAATCAAGCAGCAGTCAACTCACATAGAAGGCTAGGTCAAAAGAATGCCGTCGCAAAGATGACCCGCCCGCGTCATTCCAGAAGACTGTTGTATACACATAAGCGAAATTCAAATATGGCAGCGTCAGCTGTCTATGTTTGTTTCAGGTATTGCTTGTTTCTTGTGCATTGTTGGTACAGGCCTAGATGAATTCAATATCATCGCGAAGGATATCATAGGTATGCTCTACTCCGTAGCCCGTACTTCTTCTCCAGAAAAGCTGATATTTCTTGGGCTAGAGGAAAATCATGACGTGAACATTGCTGTAGAAAACGAAAAATCACTTACCAAGCTCCTCTGGCGTTTCATGTGGAATCTGAGCAACAGCCCGCCTTAATCAAACTTGTACATGGACACAAAACATCTGCTTACCAGATGCCCAGCAGAGTGAAACACCACGTTGGATGAGTTAACAGGTCTTCGCCACACTCGCACCCTCGTTGCCTTTTCGCCTGCAATTCTGAAACAGACATCAGTAGAGTAGAGTTTATGGCTGGGGGTAACGCACCCCTTGTCTTCGGGCTTCCCTGGAACAATCCAACGCAGTTCTATTCGCTCGTCCACCTTTTCCAACAGTTCCCATGCTTCATTTGATCCTATATGATCTACGAACACCAAAGCCTCGTGTAGAGCTGACGTCTTTAGCTTCACGCCCCCTTGTGAATCCTCGCACAAGCCATATGTAACATATAGCTGCAGGGTATCAGGATGCCAAGCTCTGAAGAATGGAGAGGCCTTGAACGAGCGCAATGCCTCCTCACTTGTGACATTACTTGAATACTTAGAAGTTACTGACACGAAATAGTGACTCACCGTGATGGCCAACGTTCGCGCCTACCAAGGGCGGCCGAATTGAGCCCAGTTAAATTGGAGGAATAGTTGAGACCGTTAACAACTACAGGGTCTATGAGAATTATGGAGGAGAACAGTGCAGGGAAATTGACAGCTGCTAGTATCCTGCGTCGATATTGTCAATCTTAGATCAGAGTAAAACGCTAGCGATAACAACATACGAAGTGCAGCCACCAAATGAATGTCCAATGGTGACCAGGGAACGGGATGAAAATCCCTTGATCTTCCTGGATTCACGGATAGCCTCTGGCAGAAGTTGTAGATGCGTCGGTAAAACCTCTGAAGATGTATCTTCCGGTAGATAGTATAATAGAAAGTGTGCAATATCCCGCGCGTTGTCTCGCCAATCAACTAGAAACGAATGTTAACTTCAGCCTTTGGATGAAGTGCGCGGGGTATCTCACATATGCCACTGAGATTTGTCTCGTTGACTAATGCAGCATCACCGTGCTGAACGGCTTCCCAAGACCACACCTCGTCAATCAGTGAAGCTGTGGGTGACGATAATAAATATCGCAGAGTTGCTTCCCATATCTATAACACATTCAATGGCTGTTCTTGAATACACGAATTATGTCAAAAAATGAAGTACCTCCTTGGGAAAACCATTTGCGTGAGTGAAGAACAATGTCAAGCCCTTCCTCCCATCTTGAGCTCTCTTGACATATCGGTTAACACAGTTCCACAACGGCTTCTCGCTTCTTTCTCCGCCCAACTCTCCCCGAATGAAGCGCTCTTGTCGCATCATAAGTTCAGTGGAAAGCTGCTGGACAGCTCGTTTCCGTTCTGCGGCATTCGTCGTGAATTTAGGGACCACAGGCAATGGGATATCCGGAGTGAGTCTTGGACAACCAGCAGGCACGAGGTGAGTGCTAACGACATAGTTGTCATTGAACGGCTCGTTTCGAGGCGACGGTAATGAAGGCGCTTCGCTATCGTAACGCGTGCGAAAAGGCAAGAATGGCTTAGGGTTTACAGTCGTCCACGGAGGAGTTGGCTCAAAAGGGTATGTCGAGGTCATGTTGGCGGGCATCTGAGTCGTTCGTTCGAGGGGGCTTGGCCTGGGTCAAGAACGTTGATCGACGGCCGTAAGTACTAGCCGATATCCGGGTAAGCGTGGAATCATGGGATAATTGGTACAACCGGTACTACTTCAGGCTACTTGATTAGAAACCAATGTCACGGTTGAGAGTTTGCCTACTTCGGAGTCAAGTTCATTGCAGTGGAGCATCTAGTACCTCGATTCCGAATCTGAAAGCCTGCTAAGTTTGCAGTCTGCACTCGTCTAAATCGATTGTCACGATCTTTAGCGTGGTGCGGCGAAACATAGCAACCAAAGAACGATCTATGATAATGATTTAGCCCAGGACAAGATTTTATCCAGAGAACATCGATATAGCTAGCAATACAGCATACGTCTACACTAGTAACGTCGGTAACCCACCGTGGCACATGATCCCAGGGCTTGGCATCCATGGTGAACGAAGTCGGTGATTTATCCATTGAGTCGGCTGTTGACTTTCTTATGTGGTGGGTATGGGGACCTTGTGTCCCTGGCAGGGATACAGTCAAGGGCCGACGGAGATTTAATTACAGCTGCAATACTTATGTATTCGTTCAAGTCGTCGAGATTTTGCCTGATCTTGTTGGGCTTCGGTGCCATACTAGCCAAATCCATTCATCTCCGGTGTCCAGACAGAGCTCTTTCGCGTACGCTTCACATCGGTTGCGGTAGAAGTTCGAAGGCGGTGCCAGTCGATCATAAAGACTTTCCTTTTTGAGACTATCGATGTCGCTGCTAACGTTGGCGATGAGTCGTTCAAAAAAATTATCAACCAGGGTACTTACGTTCGTCGTGACCGTCGTTATATAAATGGCGACGCTACCGAAGACAAAGTTGCATTCTTCCCTTCCCTTCGTTTTCTCTAGAATACTTCTCGTTCGTCCTTTTGCCCCCTTTTTTATACGGGCCTGCACTGAGTGCATTTGAGCCGTTGGGTCTTGTTCGGTTGTATTTTAATAGCATTCAAGTTTTAGTCATAATGTTGGGTGTTCGAAATTCTCTTGTGAGTCCTATAATGTTTCTTCTATTATTGCGACCAAAACTCATCAAAGCAGGCTGGGCATGACGTACCGGAAGACATACCTTCTGCAGATCTTGGACGAGCTCTGCATGTACGGCTTGCTCTCGAGAGTTTGGATCCTCCCCGGGACCATCAAGAGAGCCACAGTCAGAGTCTCACACCCTGCTCCAGCTTTTCTTCTACATCTTCAAAAACAATCATTCGACACAAGAAAAAATATCGGCCTCCCGCTCTAATATTGGATCCGCAGCATCTCGCCCTGCAACGCCAGTCATTCCTGGATCCTACCGTTACGGAGCTGGGAAGCCGACACGTCAAGTCCCAACGCAGTCTGCCCACCATACAGACCATACCTCTTCCGGCACCCACTCACTCATACCACTCTTCCATCACTTTCAACTTTCCGAATTCCTCTCCCACTTCCACCGCAGAATCGTCTCCTACAACCACGCCATCTGCTCCAAACTTTTTGACCGTACCTTCTGCGCATTCACCCTTGTCACCATCAACACCCTTGTCCCCATTGACACCTCCGCCACCGTCTCCTTTAACAACGAAGCGGAGGCGTTTCTTAAGGCTGTGCCGCAAGTTTGGTGAATCTCCGCCCCCTGAGCTCGTCTTTGGTGGGCATCCTGTGTCTGTGGGTGTAGATCCCAAGAAGGCTCGTGTACAGGGCGCTACCTTTTTCGCTCCCATCATGGAGGAGAGCAAAGAGTCCCCATTGTCGTATGATCTGGACACCTCTAGCACCAGTACCTTAGGAACGGGCTCGAGCTCGGATTTTTATCAACCCTCGTCTATTGACGCCGAGAAACGGCATCACATCTCGAGGCAGTATGGCACGGCTTGTGTACTGGAGAAGAATGGACGGCGGGTTACGCAACGGAATTATGATGATATTTTGAAGCGTTTGAGAATGCTTTGATCAAAGGATCGAGTGGCTCATTCGTTTCATCTCATCTATTCCGACTGGTTTCGCTCGTTGGTGGTTGGGATACTTATTTTAATATTTATCATAGCGTTGAGCGCCCTTTCATCGCTTTCGATGTACAATAGTATTTTCAGCATACGTTGATAGTGTTAATTATTGGGCAAACACACGCACACACGTACATACACAACACTCGTATACATAGTACAGTAACATACAAACGTAGTCGACCAATCGCTTCAAATAGAGGAAATGTAACATACATCTCGCTGATTATCGACTAGGGGATGGTTTAGCAATTGTCGTCAGCCTGACAGTTACTTCACACGCGGTGAGTAACGTCAGGCCGTTCCGATCATGAAGAAGAGAAGAAGAGAAGATGGTTATAGCCAATATGTATAAATCTTAGGGACACGAGTTGAGAAGGCGACTTGCATCATGCGTGTGCGTTGTGGAAGCTTGAACAGATGATGATCCAGCAGTAGTATCGTGATCATCATAGCGACGAGTGTTGAAATTGGAACGTATAGAAACGTTGGCGCCCATCACATCAGTTTTCTATTGAGATCAGTAGCGAATATTGCAGCCAGATTATAAGCAAGGCACCTATACGTCAATCGAACGACACTATGCCCAAAATGATTGCGGGACGCCGATGCATCATATGACTAGACATACTCACAAACAAAGTGCATATCGCTGAGCTGGAAGGAGCCAAGCGGAGTGGAATTCAGTGGAGGTCACAAGACCGTTCGTGATTACATGCTTTTGCAGCAAGGCTTTTGGAAGGAAGGTGGAGCATAGCCTATAGTAGTGCCACATGTAGTAAATTTTCTCTGCAGGAACCCAAACGCAAACGAAACTTCCTACGTACGTGGCATCTGTGGTAGTGGGCGCTACTCTTGTTCGCATCAAAAGCTGGTGAAACATGAGTCGATAGAGTTTTGGATAGCCAGGTTGCCGCGCATCTGTGAGTTTTTCTTATATAGACGATTTTTGAATGTGGAAGAGAAAAGAGCTCTCTGAGCTGTTTGGCTTGGTCGTTGTTTGCCGCGGTGATGACCCAATTGTTTGTGCTCGCACACGCTTAACATTGTCCACGATCCTCATCGACATCCTCCGGGTTTCCCTTTATCTTTGCACGTTCTTCGACGACAGTGAAAGCGAACAAGATTTTTTTTATTTCGAGCTTTGCTCATGTTAGTTAGGCTGCTTTGATGTCTGGTAAAGCGCCTCCAAAGGGACCAAGAGCGCTTTTGAGTTCGCTGCCTGGCTCATCGTCACAACAAGCTTCGACGTCGTCGAGTTCAACATCGGCTTCTTCGCCTGGTGCTGGTACTAGCAAAATTGGTGCACCACCACCAACAGGACCAAGACTCCTGAATGGTGTTCCAACTCAACCCCGAGGTAAACCGACTGGAAAGCCTTTTGTTAATGGCTATACTGGACCACCTATAATAAATGTACCGACAGGACCAAGATCTACACAGAAGGGCAAGCAGGTTGATTCAGCATCGAATGTGAGTTTATTTACTGCTTAGAACGATGAGAATCATAATAAATGATAATTTTCTATAGTCATCTGAATCTGCTTCGCCAGTTCATGAAACATCACCTGTAGCGAGTTCAGCGACTGTTGCTGATGGTGTTAGGCCTCATCAACCTGTAAAGATATCCTTTACAATTAATCGCAGAACTTCCCTCACCGAATCACGTCCGAGACCACCACAACCAATTGAAGAACCACCACCACCGCCACCACCTTCAGGTCCACCACCACCTTCAGAGGTACCACCACCACCACCTTCAGAAGTACCACCACCACCACCACCTTCAGAGGTGCCACCACCACCACCTTCGCCTTCACCACCACCTACACCATCACAAGATTTGTCAGATCACGCGTCCCTCACCTCCGCCCTCTAAATCACCCTCACCTCCTCCTTCAGAACCAGTCGCATCATCATCGAAACCACCCCCACCTGAATTCTACTCACTGCCTCCCCCTCCTCCATGGCCGCCCTCCCGTTCCGAATACCCCGCTGGCAGCAACTTCAGAATCATTTATGACCCTGCCATCGACAAGGACCGCGACGGTCGTTTTCGGGCTCTAATCGAGAAGATTCGAGCTACCCAGGTCGATGGTACAGATGAGCCACGGATCAAGGGGAAAGGAAAGGGAAAGGAGACGCTCACGCGGTATAATGGAGAGGTGATCGAAGGCGAGCCAGAACCTACCACAACCGATCCCCGCAAGGCACCAAGTTTCAAGAAACGTCCACACCGAGACGCGTTCCATGAAATTCGGTATGAAGTGGGTGTAATCATATACATCTTGTAATTAACCTCATTGACGCGTCTTCAAAGTATGATCCAAACTCAACAGGCCCACCGCCCCCCACAGCTGTGCTGATCATGAATTTGTCACCTCTGACGCCTACGCAGCAGATACGTCGCGTCTTCAGTGCACATGGCAGGATCTCCTCCTTTGATCCGCAAATTGACATGGAGTCTGGGGTAGCGCTCGGCATCGTGTTTATTCGGTACCAGACACATGAAGAGGCCAAGATATGTGTAGAGCGTACCCACGGAAAGAAATTTGGCACAGGCATGGGAATGGCTGATGGGGAGGAACTCAAAGTGGTCTTTGACGGCGAAGGTCTCAAACTGAAGGCAGTGCGGAAAGAGCTAGAACAACAGAAACATCGCGGTAGAGAAGAGAAGAGAAGGAAGGAGAAGGAAGCCAAGGTTCCGACATTACCACCTGCACCCATACCCGCACCAATATCCATACCGAAAGCTCAGACCCCAAGCTCGACGCATACACCCGCCCAGTCCGCATGGCGGCCCAGCCATCAGCTCCCTGCACGCCCTGCACACATCCCCTACACCAACGGACGCCTATCACCTCCCCGCAGCAGAAGAGCACAGCCTGTCATGAAAGCTAAAATGATGAACTCAGCACTGAGCACTCGTTTCCCAGCAGTGAATGACCTTGCGCCTATGTCATCCTCTTCATCGACACCCATCCATACCCGTGGTCGTCCTTCACATCATAGTTCTACTCACGCTCCAGCACCTCCATCCCGCTCACCTTCCCCTATCTCCCGCCGCCCAGGACAAGGGCGCCATCAACAGCAAAGAGAGGCTACTAGTGCCACTGTCATCGACGCCCTCGCCAAGAATGGTTTCGAGCATGTCCGAATAGACCTCACAGGCGGCGCGATGATATCTATCCGTGAAGAAGACGTGTGCGCGTTCTTCAAGGACTTCAAGGTCGACTGCGTCCTACGAGATCACAACGCTTGGTATGTTGCCTTTCAAACAAGCGACTCTGCACGACGCGCAGCCATGGTGCTCAGCTCGCGAACACTTGGCCACCACTCGGTAACGCTCTCAGCCTGTCCTCCTCCTTCTCACGCCGCTCCTGTGGTTGCTGAAAAGACTAGCTGGACAAAGGAGGAGATAGTTCAAAAAGCGGCAGATACGATCGTCAAAGAGCTCAAGGTTCTTTTGGAAAAGGACATCACTGAGCGGGTGGCTGCTGCTGATCTACGGAAGCTGGTTGCAGACGAGAAGGCGAAAGTTGCAGAGACGAAAGCTAGGGAGGGTCCAGAGATGGTCAATGAGCAACGGCCGGCTGAGAAGCGAGGTCTGAAAGGACTTTCATTTCGGAAACCGAAAAGAATAAGGGAGGAGGAAGCAAAGGCATCCGTGGTCGAAGAAGTCCCTCTTGTCGAGCCAGAAGAGCCTGTACCCGTTGAACCACCAAAGAAAAAGCGGAAGAAAGAGGTCGTCGCGAAGGTTACGAGGGTGGCTGAATCAGACTTGGAGTCCGAGGATGAGGAGAACCTTGCACCCGAACCCCGGAAACGGGCTGTTTCCGAGGTTCGTGACGAGGAACAAGAGCCTGTCAAGAAGAAGCCGAAGAAGGACGCTGTGCTCGAGGATGACGAACAACACAAGAAAGCCTTGTCGAAGAAGAAGGTCGTCAAGAAAAAGTCAGCAGCCAAGGTGATTGTCGACGAGGTTATCCGGCCCGACGAGTTGGATTTCAACGTTCCTGCTACTGCCAACATCCACATCTCAAAGGTGGAGTCGGTTTCGCGCTCGCCTTCTCCCGTGCCAGAACCACCGCGGCCTCCGAGTCTTCCTCCGGATCCACTCGAGCAAGGCATATGCGATGACGACGAGGACTTTTATTTCGCTCGGCTGGCTATGTCGAGTGACTCTTCAAGCGTGTCGCACGTCTCGCCGCCCACTACCGATACTGTACTAGCATTTCGGAAGCATCTCACAGGTTCAGCACGTACCGAAGGCTACTACAAGATATCTCATGCTGAGAAATCAGCCTATGTCGCTCAATACGCCCTACGATCCACCAACGTCGAGTCAGTCGTTCCAACCGAAGCACCCGCCCAACCCGTCACCTCTTCTCGCTCGAACCGTGCCAACGCTCGCCGCCGCGCCCAAGGTCTGGAAGAGATCAACCAAGTACAGCGAGCTGTAGCTCTTTCAAAAGGCGAGACGGCCGCTGCAGAGCTGAGCATCAAATTCAACCAGCTCCAAACGCGGAAAAAGCATCTCCGGTTTGCGAGGTCTCCGATTCATGACTGGGGGTTGTACGCTATGGAGAGGATTGCGCGAGGGGAGATGGTCATTGAGTATGTGGGCGAGATTATTCGGGCTCAAGTCGCCGATAAGCGGGAAAAGGTGTATGAGCGGCAAGGGATCGGGAGCAGTTATCTGTTTCGGATTGATGAGGACCTCGTGGTGGACGCTACGAAGAAGGGGAATCTTGGGTAAGTTCCGACTCGGATCTTTGCGCGATGCAGCTGCTGATTGGATGTTTGCCTTAAGGCGTCTCATTAATCATTCATGCGATCCGAACTGTACTGCGAAAATCATCACTATCAACGGCGAGAAGAAGATCGTCATCTATGCTAAGCAGGATATCGAACTGGGCGATGAAATCACATATGGTCAGTCAAGCCCAGTACTCTCCATACTTTGTTTCTCTAACTGACGCGACGCGCTTTGCAGATTATCATTTCCCCATCGAGCAAGATAAGATCCCATGCTTATGTGGCTCTGCGAAGTGTCGCGGTTATCTCAACTAGAAATTTGTTTGACGTTATCCACTTCGCTCTCTGCATTGCATATTCATACCCTCCCTTCAATGCTATCGACAACAACGCTAATTCACACTGCGCTATGTATCACTCACCTCGTTGCACGTTCGTTCCCTTTGCATGGCATTGTTTATTAATGATCATCGGTTTCTACTGCTTGATGGGTTTGCCTAGTTGATTGGTACTTGGCGAGTCCAGATGTCAATTTGGTGTTCTCTGTACCAAAATCAACGATGGCATTTGCTGACATTCATGGCCTTCTCATAAATTACGCTCTAACTTACAATTGAGTCTCATGCAGGGCCCGTTGTCGCCTTTCAAGCTTCAATACAACATGATGCACAATCCATACATCACTTCGGATACACGTCATGAAGTCGTTCTAGTAGGTAAAACAGTGGAAGACCAAATAATAGGGCACGTATTCAATCCTCGAGCTGGAGATCCCCATACGGCTTTGCTCTGAAGTAGGACTCCTCGAAGTGATGAACACGTACAAAGCCATCTTCTCCACCGGAAGCATAGCTCGTACCAGCCGGATGAACAGCAATCCTAATTGTCAATTCATGGATGAAAACCACTGAAAAGAAATAAAACTGGAGGAACTGACGTGTTGATGGGTCCGAAATGACCCTTTACTCTGCCAACTTCCTCTTCAAAGACCTTGTGCCAAAAACGGGTTTCAAATTTGCCTTGCCGCAGCGACGTAGTGGTGACCTGCATCGCTTCCTGACCACCACCTACTAGAACCTGTGCACGTATCCGTTATATGAGCAAGATCTTAAAAGACGAATGATCGACCTACGTATGGTTTGTTGGGTGCTAGTGCTGCACTGTTCAAAGGTGTCTCTGTTGTGAAAGTTTTGAGTACTCGAAGAGTTTTCGTGTCGTGTATCTAGGCCGATAGCGTATTAATGAACAAAATGCCCGAGTCGCCGATAGCTAGAAACTCACCCGAGCAGTTTTGTCTTTGCTACTTGTTACGAAATAGCTGCGATCGGCAGACAATTGCAAATCTGTGACGACGTCCATGTGCGCACGCTCGTTGTTGAGAACTTCTGTCCCGGTGACGACATCAAAAAGAGCGATTTTTCCAGACTCGTGACCAGTTATGATCAGGTTTGGGGTATATGTGAATGCGCAAACGGTGGCCTTAGACCCTATGGGACTGAACATATGTTCTGGTTCCAGAGATTCTGGAGGGGCAGTGATACATCAGGAGTGATCAAGGGTAGTATTTCCATCTTACTCACGAGTCGTTCCATCTCCATCGTGGTTCAGCTTGAACACTCGTATAACACATTGATGGCCCATGCGTTGCTCAGTGATGCAAACGACACGCTCGTCATCGTCGCTGAATGCCACACGCTTCACGGCCGTTGGGAACTCCCAAACGTATAAACATTTGCCGTCGGATACATTCCACAGACGTAGCTCATTGTCGGCAGATCCAGAGACGAGAAATCTTGATTGTGCTATCAGATGTTGGTCAGGATCAGATAGTATCATGGCGTAGAAAAAAAGTCCTTACAGTCAATGTCGATTGTCCATACTGTGCCATTGTGGCCCTCGTATGTGCCTAGGCGTTCACCATTGTGTGAGAACCAAACATTGATGATATGGTCTTTCGAGCATGAGAACAGTAAGTCCCCTTCTGAATTGAACTTGATTTGAGTGAGTGATCGTTCGTGACCTGCGAGACGGAAGGTTAGATCACGATTAAAGGTGCTATGAATTAATTTTGCCTTGTAATAGAATTGGCCTCTATGATGGAGCGATCAGTATGCAAAAAAACATCAAGCCTATGCATGTCCAACCATTATTCAATATCTCAGCAGCACGTCGAGCTGTTGATCAGCAAAGCTGTATTTTGCGTGTTCGAGAGTTGGAAGAGAAAAGATTTCGAGTGGTTTACGATTGCCGCATTTGGAAGTCTTATGTGTTCACTCTCAACCACTTCCTGCCATGTTGACGGATGCCAATGCAGCATATATCCACCAGCAGCAACCGTAGCACATCGACCAGGATGTAGCCCAAGAGCAGAACTCTCAATTGGTACCACGTTGAGCGAAATTTATTCGAATGGCTTACCGATACTAGAGACCCTTGTTGCTTATATCGTATCCTCAACTACTCGAGATCGATATGACTTCAGTAGTGAGCTCCATTCTGCTTCCTTCATCAAATTATAGGTCAACTATTAGTGCGCCCTACAGGCTACTCAGTAGGTGTCAATACTGCCCAAACAATTCGCTACTTCTCTCGTTCTCTGCCCTTCATACAATTTTGCGGATAGTCAAGTCCAACTAGTACGCGTGCATGGAACGTATTTGCTCGCGGCCGTTCGATTGACGCGCTGAGATTAAGAAGACTGGGTAGAAGAGAAGAGGAGGGAAGCAAAGCCAGGGCTCATAATTGCATTTACTGACCTAGCACTGGGTCATAGCTGGAAATTTGTCTTCTCGGTCACCTCATCTTGGTATTTGATTTCCCCATGGACGAAACTGTTAATATTCAGGAGATGGATGACTGATTCTGCTTTCTGATTATTAACAGTTTTGCTACTCGAGGACCTTGTTACACGTTTTCACCATTGCTGAGGGGAGCTCACCAGCGATGTAGAACTTCATCTACATATGTCATGTCCGATATTACGACAATGTTATGGATCCTGTTCAGGCACTGTAATTTGTGTCTGTCCTTCCACCTCTTACGCGACATGACCTGAAGCTCTAACTTCAAGATCTCTTTATGAAGTAGCTTCCAACTATAGGTTCGCAACTACTTGCATCCAAGCCATGGTCAGAATTGGGATAACAGCAAGACGACGAGGCGGCACATTTGGACGACTGGATTTAGTGGCAAAAAATCTAGTAATTGAACGAAGGGGCGGAGGCCGTACCTATCACACAGTTCTTTCACTATTTTCACACTACGCAAGTTCCCGAATCCCTGCCGAGACTTGCAGGGAAGTACAGACCTCGAAATTGTCGACGCCGCCCACCTTCACCGGCACCGCCGATGTAACAAACAAAGTAAGTACTATTTGCCCAATGGTGATCGCACTGGAGCTGAGAAGTCTCGCCCTGCCAGGCCATTGTCGCCCGATGACAGTATACAAACGCCTACAGCATGTTGCTTGCCTCGCGTAATTCACTGCGGTGCTACAGGTTCTTTTCGTCCTGGAACCATCGTAGTCCTTGCAGTTCATGTCAGTCGAGGTTTGGCAGGAGCAGGTGATTGAGCAATGGGCTAGTCTAGCTAGCAAGCGTGCAACCTGTAACTTTTGATGTTAGCGCTTGTTCAACGTTGTATGGTGGACTATGGAACTTGTGTGTGTGTAGAAGAGCAAGGGCCCGCAGCCTCCCTTTCCATGACTGCGCGTGGTAAAGACCATGAAGATGCTCCCCTCGTGATCAGCACGGCACTGCGACGTGAATGAGGGCATGTAGGCAGGTTGTGGTAGTCCACCTCAAGTTCGCCTTGTGCATGATATACATGTCAATATATTCGGCCCAATCTAAACTATCAATATGAATGTGAACCGTCCGACGTACGTGTAGATGATACAGGTGAGATGCGAATGGTGTTCCATCAGAGAATATCCACCTCGTCCTTGAGTGACCTCTTGATCTTCAACAATATTCCTGTCTTCCAATTATCCAACTTCGTAACCTGATCATACTCGAACACTGCTGTCGTAAAGGCTTGTTCATCACCTGCTGTCACGAGCTCGCACATGTCTCCTAGGAACTTGCATTCCCGAGTTGAGCTGAATGTAACATCTTTCGACTTGAACACCTCGATGTCTCGCTGCGCTTTCCCAACATCCTGAGACCATGATTAGGATAAGGGTAGGTCACATCAACGAGAAACATACTCTCATGGCGAGTGCACATAAGCCCGAACGTAACCAGTAATCTTTCACGCTATACTTTGTCAGGTTCGATTTCAGCGCGTAATTTGCGACCATCTCATAAAGTTGTATAGCCCCTCTGTAATCTTCAACTTCAGCACAGAGGTCTGCGGCATCCTTGCGACATGCGCTAGCCGTTCTATATATATAAAAGTGAGTTGCTGTCTGCTCTGTAAAAGACTGTACATACGCAGCAGCGTCCTCCTGGTCGTACCACTCAGCGGCTCGCTGGAAGCTTTCGCATGCCTTCGCGATGTTATTCAATTCGTGTTGATAAATCTGGCCAATCTCTTTCTCTCTGTCTGCTGCCTGGCGGAACCTACCCGACTTAGTGAGATGCATGATCGTGCAACCCAAAGCCTGAATCGCCACTGCAGAGCCAGATCAGTATCAGCTGCATCAAAAGTGCGGGGAAAAATACATTGAGGGTCGTCTTTCTTGTATGCCTTGGCGGCATTCCACCAAGCATTTGCTGCGTCGTTGGTTTCGTTGCACTTTTCTCTGCACTCTGCTTCTCTCGAAAATGCGTCGCCAGCCGTCTTGAATTGCTTCTCAAGCCGGAAAGAGTTGGCAGCTTGTTGGTATAGGTCCCCTGCCTCCTCCCATTTGGCTGATGAAGAAGAAAACCATCCAGTGGAAGAATTTGATTTTTTATCTGCTTTGTCGAGAAGAATCTCTGCTGGTGATTTGGGCATGGTGGTTGTGGAGAGTCGGGACGCTCTGAATCATCGGGAAGCGCATTTGGGGTTGGGCAGCGCAGGTGTGATGCTTACATAAGTTCAAGTACAGCTCCACACAGCCGCAGAAGGGCTTCAGTGGCCTTATGAAGCGTGTGACTTACTAGGGGAGCTCAGAGTAGGTCGCTGTCGCTGTTGCCCGAAACAAATTATTTTGCAACTTACACTAAATAATTCCAAATAAATCACATATACCATATTGAGCACTTCATTTAGTACCAGCGCTCATCATATCATATGGCTGGCAAATCCAAGTCCAGTGAAGCGCCATTTCCATATTGGCCCATTTGGTACAGTGTTACACCCAACTGAATCTCCACAGGTTCTTGAGGTTGATTTGAATTGTTATGAAAGACTGGATGGTCCTCAATTAATCCTAAGATCACTTGAAATACTTCTGGAGAGACTCGAAGCATATTGATGAAGCATTGGTGATTGGCAAGACTATGTGCCCATTCCCATGCAAGGTGTAAGTTGCCAGATTTGAGGACAGGGGTATGAGAACAAAGGTAGTGAGTTTGTTGTATGGCTATGATACAATTTATATCCATATTAAGCTCTTGCACTAATTCCTCTGGTGTTTGCACAGGTTGTAAGAGTGCTCAAAAGGTCATAAACTGCACATATGAGGCTATATACTGCTGATGTAGTGAGTGGCGAGCCATAGTATAGTAGGTTATCCACTTATATAACATCTGTTAACCCTTAGTGCTCATGTGCATCAACAGCAAAAGTGAAAGCGACAGCAGATAGTGGACAGTGGCCTACTCTGAGCTCCCCTACTGTTGTCAGGCTCAACATCTTCCACAACATGCTGTTTACCACATGTTGCTAAAGGTAATTCTAAACAAGGCATTGAGTCCCACATGCATTTTGCATACATAAAGCATTTCCTCTGGATTATCTAACATGGGTGAAACTCCCATACCCCAAATGTATCCTCTGAGTCTAGGATTGATCTTGTCAGTTACTAGTTGAGAACATTGTTCTACCAAACAAAAAAGGTAAGAGTGTCTTTGATGTGACTGATGCAGCATAGAACTTACACTTTGTTCTGGACCAGTGCCTGGTTGACCATCATGACCATGTTGTCACTCTCATCAACCTAGTGTAGGCCCATTTTCAATGCCACATCCACAAGGATGCTCACAATTTGACTCTATTATATCTCTAGGCTGCAACACCCTTGCATTGCATTTGAATTTCACAGGGTTACCCTGAGCATCCTGTATCTCTCTATCACCTCACCAAAGCACTCACTTGGTGCCAGAACAAGAAAACATACTGCTCCTGATATCTATGAAGCCACCCAACATGTATTTACAAGTGTAGAGCAAACTTTACAGGCAAACACTGCACTGCATAAGCATATTTCCTTAAATGTGAATAGGATTTGTGCTGTCAACAAACTGCGGCTTGGCCCTCTCACCAGGTCAACAGGCACCACTTGAGTGGTTTAGAACCTTCATGAGGTCCTGAAAACAGCCATCTTTCAGTGATGGCATCAAGAGTGAACAGACTTCTCCCAACAGCTATGATCTTGACAGCAGTATTGAGATCAAGTGCATGAACCTCAATGTTGGGAAGAGATCTCTACTCATAGTTCACCAAAAGCTCTTGGATGACCTATATCTACTTTGCATCTTACATAGGTAAGTACCATGTCAAAACTTGGAATAAATAAAACCAAATTCTCCTGCTCCCTGCACACTACCTGCCCATTGCAAATTGATCATATCAAACATATCTTGCACTACACACTACTGCTAGTTGACCCCTGGATGCACTCCTGGAAAGCAATTGAAGTCGTGGCAGTTGCCATGTCAGAGTTGGCCACAAGCTCAGCATGATATTCTCAAAGACTGAGGATGAGGTGTGGTCCTAGTACAAACATTTGTGCAACCTGGAATATCTGAGCAAGACCCAAATAAATCTGAGTGTCCTGGGGATATAAGTCCTATAGAAATGATAGGTCTTGGTCACATGTTGAGGTTGGTGACAGATTGGCATACCACTGAGAGCATTGGTGAGAACAAACTGATCATGAAGCAAGAGACAGCCAAAAAACTAGCACATGCAAGACTTTAGCAGAACAGGAGAACTACATTCATATTATGAGCTCACCTCACAAAGTAACTCATGTGAGTTTTCATTAACACCATGAAACAGTCCCTGATAATACCATTTGTTGAGTGTTGTCATAATTCATGGAAGTGCTTTACAGCAATCCAGACTATGAAACACAGAGCAAGGACCTCCCATACAGTG